GGCAGGCGGTGGGTCCCACACGGCCTTCAGCTGTGATGGGCCTGTTAACGGAACGACACGCGTGCTTCGCGTGGGGCCTGGGCTTTGGCTCAGCTAGCGGGACTGACCTTGGCCAACTCTGAACCTCAGCCTCTTCATCTGCAAATTTGGGGTCCCAATGCCTGTGCTGCACCCCCCATGGCCCCGGGGGAGGCCAGGGAGGGCCGCCGGGGTCCCGTCCACTGCCCGCTCTCTGGCCACCCCAGGGTCAGGCTGAGATGAGCCGTGGTGTCCCTGTGAGTCGCCGGAGGGCAGCGTGGGGGCACGTGGGGCCCGGCGCTTCACCGGCAGCCGCCTGCTTCGCTTTGCCTCACCTCCGTGAAGGGCGTGCAGTGCATCTGGACAACAGGCCTGGCCCCTGGCCAGCATCCCCCGCTGGCCGCCGCCTCTGCACAACCAGCTCCCTGGATCAGGCCCCGGTCGGCCTGCACCCTTGGCAGGGCTGGTGGGCCAGCTGGCCTCAGCCCCCCTGGGGGCCAAGGGAGGTCGGAGCTGCCCGGCAGGGTGCCCAGGAATGCAGGGGTCCCTGGGGCTGCTGCTTCGTCTGTGTGGCCTGTGCTGTGTCTTCCTGACCGGGCCCCGTGGGCCCAGCTGTCTGGACCTGCCTGTCTACACTTCTGTCTGTCTGAGTTTAGAGCTGTCTGTGAATCTGGGTCTTGTCTCACTGCTCCAGGCCTGTCTGGATCTACCTTTCTGTCCCTCTGACTGTCTACTCAGGGTCTGGGGTCCCCTCTCTGCATGGCCTCTGGCTCACAGCGCTGGCTGGGCCCAACCCCACGGACACGTCCACGCCCTCCTCTATGGACTGGGGTCTGCGGGACCCCTGCCCAGCCCCTCCCTGCCAGGCTCCCTGACCCTGCAGACCAGCCTGCGGGGACCCCCTGAGCCTCCAGCCTCGCCACGCGGGGCTCAGGTCCCCCCACCCCTGACCCTCCGCCTGCCAGACCCCCTGAGTTTCCCGACGAAAGCCCCGTCTGTCAGTTCTTCTCACACATTCCTGGAAGAAGGAAAATCAGCCCAAATTCCAGCAAGTCTTTGGCAAGGCTTATCAGCAACTTTAGAAGCGTGCACACCACAAAACTCTTCACTGCGCGTTCCTAGGAACCTGGGATGTAATGCAGTTCCTGGCCCGCAGGGCCTGGCTGAGCGAGCGGGGCCCCTCCACGTGGTGGGGCCTGTGCCGGGGTCCCTGTGGACAGCCTCTCATCCAGGAGAACCTGGGCATCTGGGGAGAGATGTCTGCGTGACCAGCGAAGGTGCGGAGGGTGCAGACAGAATGTCACGTTCGCTTAGCACAGGGACAGAAATCTGTATTTGCTTACCTTTTTGGAAAGAAGCCACGGAAGGGCAAACCCAGAGCTCAGTGAAACTGTCAGTTCGGGGCAGAGCAGGGAGGAAGCAGGACCTCTCTGAATGCACCTGGTTTTATGCTTTTGACTTTAGAGCCAAATGTTTTCTGCAGTGAACAAATGGACTGGTGGCTCCCTGGAGGCCCAGCGGTTAAGACCTCACCTTCCAGTGCAGGCAGGGGCTTCCCTGGCGGCTCAGATGGTGATGAATCCGCCTGCAGTGAGGAGACCCGGGTTTGATCCCTGGGCTGGGAAGATCCCCTGGAGGAGGGCATGGCAACCCACTCCAGTGTTCTTGCCTGGAGAGTCCCATGGACAGAGGAGCCTGGCGGGCTACAGTCTATGGGGTCCCAAAGAGTCGGAGACGACTGAGCGACTGACGCTTTCACTTTCCAATGCAGGGGGTTCACGTTCCATCCCTGGTCAAGGAGCTAAGACCCCGTGTGCCTCACAGCCAAAAAACCAGAAGAAATAGCAGCAATATTGTGACAAATGCAGTAAAGACTTTAAAATACTAAAACCACCTTTAAAAAAAACAAAAGCTAAGCTAAATCAGTGTGTTTTTCTTTTTAAGACAGTAAAAACTAACTGAAATAAATGAACCTAAATATCGAGGTAGTGGGGGGAAAAAAGCATCCTAAGAATTATTTCAAGTGACTTCGAAACAGTCTTTTTACTTCACATCCCTAAAGGGACAAAAACAAAAAGAATAACAAATATCAAATTCCACTCAGTAGTCTTGTTAGTAAAAACTTTGGTAAGGAAACTTTTAAATGGGAAAAAGCAAGTAAGTAATGAAGTGTATGTTATGAGGAAATAAAACTTGCACTGTAAAAGTCACATAGACATCACATTTTAACATGGAAAAACCCTTTCATCTCTAATTTTAAGTGGAAATATCAGTATAAACTCATGTTCATTTTTCTCTCCCTTAAAAAAAAGAGTCTTTCCTAGATCTGGCCACTGAAAAAGCCCAGAACCATTGCAAAGTCAGAAGCAAGTAGCGCCTCTAGGCCCAGACTGTGGTCTCTAGAACCACTTCCCAGCAAGAGAGCCGAGCATCCCAGGACTGCAGCAAGAAGAACCGGGACATTTTATGCCTAAAAGCAGCATGCCATCGAGGATTAGCGGGGTCCATTAAACTGACTTTGGGGTTCCCCTGGTGGCTCAGTCGGTAAAGAATCTGCCTGCAATGCAGGAGACCCAGGTTTGATACCTGGGTGGGGAAGAACCCCTGGAGAAGGAAAAGGCAACCCACTCCAGAACTCTTGCCTAGAGAATTCCATGGACAGAGGAGCCTGGCGGGCTACAGTCGACGGGTCACAAAAAAGTCGAACAAGACTCAGTGACTAAACCACCACCATCAAAGTGACACTGAAGTCAACATGGAGGCCAAACCCATGGTCCCAGGGAGATCACTTAAACATCGAAAAGAATAACGGTTGCAGTGCATTGAAACACATCAAATATGTATAAATCAGTGAGAACAAGATGATACTGTAAAACAACCACAGCCCTCATGGGGTGCCAACTTGTTCTGAAAACTGAAAAATTTACAAGCTGAGCATCTATGCTTTTCCTCTGCAGAGAGTCTGTTAATATTACCGGCTACGTAACAGGGAAAACTCTTTAGAGAAGAGTCGGAGCTGATACGCGCAGAACAAGTGAGAGCGTTCGCGCAGTCTCTGTCTGCAGCGCCTGATGAAACAACAGATCCAGGCAGGGATTCCCAGCCGCTGCTGAAAGAATGAAGCAGAGCTGGCGGGGAGGCCTGGGCTAACAGCAGCTGAACACCAGGGCTCATCTTAGCATCACGACAAGAGGGACAGCGGTCCTGGGGCCCTGAAAGTGACGTGGTGGGAAGCCAGTTTAGAGGGCAGAAGCATGACAGAGGAACACGTGAAATGCTGCTGGAGGAACTGCAAGCCAGCTCTCATACATGGAAAATTCTGTGAGATCAATGACCCAGTTTCTTCTGNGTGGTGGGAAGCCAGTTTAGAGGGCAGAAGCATGACAGAGGAACACGTGAAATGCTGCTGGAGGAACTGCAAGCCAGCTCTCATACATGGAAAATTCTGTGAGATCAATGACCCAGTTTCTTCTGTAAGCAACCTGCAGGGAGGGGGATGAAGGGAAACAACAGTCAAAAGAGCCAAACTCAACTGGGTCTGGATTTGAACAAGCCAACTGTGGAAAAGCATTATGGAGCTGAGTGGAGGCTTGTTAAAGGTCCTCACCTGTCAGACTCTGCAAGGAAGTGTTTATAAATAAATTGATATGCTCTGGGATTTCCTTTAATGAACTCAGTTACCCCGCCATGCAATTCCCCAGGGTGAGGGGAACGGAAGGGATTGGGAGGTTGAGACAAGGTGTACTCAGCAAAGCCCCTTGTTAAACCTTGGTCGCCTGGAATGGGCCACAGTGGGGATATTTACACAACGTTCGCGTTAGGCTGCTTCAGTCGTGTCCGACTCTTTGCCTCCCTGTAGACTGTAGCCCGCCAGGCTCCTCTGTCCTTGGGGATTCTCGAGGCAAGAATACTGGAGTGGGTTGCTGTGTCCTTCTCCAGAGCTTCTTCCCAACCCAGGGATTGAAGCCAGGTCTCCTGCATTGCAGGCAGATTCTTCATCTACTAAGCCACCAGGGAAGCCCTTAATTCCCCAACCAGTGACTGAACCCTAGTCGCCTTCTCTGGCAGCGCGGAGTCTTAACCACTGGGCCACCAGGGAGGTCCCTTAAGAATTTTTTAATGTCAACAGCCTAAATATCAAAAGGGAGCTGTTTTTCAGTTTTGAAAGATGAAAAAACTTTTGAAAATCGGTTGCAGACTGTTTGAATACACTTAACACCACTGACCTAGACTTTTTAAAATGGTTAAGATGGTAAATTTTCTGTGATGTGTAATTTGATATTTTAAAAGAAAGGGATCATTTATGTTATAAAGTGGAATATGGTTCAAAATTACTTTGCAGAAGAAAATTTAACGATAAGGAAAACTAAGGATGAGCCGCAATAGGTGATAAAGCAGGTTACAAAACCATACATTCAGCCTGATTGCATTGGGGCCAATTTTTAAACGCATGAGCTGGTCGCCCAGGCTTCCCAGGTTGGCGCTAGTGGTAAAGAACCTGCCTTCTGATGCAGGAGATGTCAGAGACACCAGCTCGACCCCTGGATTGGGAAGATGCCCTGGAGGAGGAAATGGCAACCCACTCCAGTATTCTTGCATGGATAATCCCATGGACAGAGGAGCCTGGCGGCTAGAGCCCATGGGGTCGGTCACAAAGAGTCGGACAGGACTGAGGCGGCTGAGCACGCACGCACACACGTGTGCACGAGCTACTCGCAAGTGTGCTTGTCCGAGCGCTCACACCGAGGCTCACGAAGCCTTCGCGGAACCCCGAGAGCGAGGCTGTGTGCTGCTAGCGTCCCCTCCTGCAGACGTGGGAAGTACTGGCAGGGGCAGGGCGCTCTCCCACCCCGCCCCAAGCCCCTGCCTCCTGCCGGCCCTGGGGGTTTGTTTTCCCTTTTAGAGCACTTGCTTAGCATCCTAATCTAGAACAGGCTCCTTCTGCAATGAGCTGGCAGTGAAGGTGGTGGCGTGTGTTGCAGGCTGTTGATGGAGAAGGGGGCGGATGACAGCCGGGACAGTGGTCATCACCGGGGGCATCTTGGCGACTGTGATTCTGCTCTGCATCATCGCGGTTCTGTGCTACTGCCGGCTCCAGGTACTCGGGGGCGTGGGGGGTGGAGGGGAGCCCAGGGTGGGACCCTGCAGAGGGCGGGAGCCCCCGCCCAGGGCAAGGCCTCCAAGAAGGTGCAAGGCAACCAGCCCTGCCCAGCCTCCGCGTGTGAGGGCTCCGTGGTAGTGTCCCAGACGCCCTGCGACGCAAGGCTGCTGCAGTTCAGAGAGGTGAGGGCCTTAGCCGACGCCACGCGGCTGCCAGGCGGGGAGCAGTGGTGAGCCCTCGGGGTGTGCAAGGCAAGGCAGTGCAGCCCGGCCCCCTCGAGCTAGACTGGGGCCAGACTCCAGCTCCGCTGCCCTCAGGCTGCCTGAACCCCGCTCCCCGGGCTTCAGTGTCCCCACCTGCAGACTGGACGTGGTCACTGCCCCTGCCCCGTGTTTGCTGTGGGGCGAAATGAGTGAAAGTGAGTGAGAGTTGCTCAGTCGTGTTCGGCTATCTGCGACCCCATGGACTGTACAGCCCCTGGAATTCTCCAGGCCAGAATACTGGAGGGGGTAGCCTTTCCCTTCTCCAGGGGATCTTCCCAACCCAGGTCTCCTGCATTGCAGATGGATTCTTCAGCAGCTGAGCCACAGGGAAGGGGTGAAATGCAAGAACCCCTCATTTAGGGACCCTAGGAGTTCGGGGCGCCTGGGTCTCGAGCTCCCCTCTGTGGTCGTGGTGGGGACACGGGTATCTGAGCCGGGGGTATCCCGGCGCCCTCCCGGGCCTGCGCTGGGGGCCAGGGTGGTGGGGAGCCGGGGGTCACGGCGGGGCCGGGGGTCACGACGGAGGCTGGGGTGGTGGGGAGCCGGGGGTCACAGCGGGGCCGGGGGTCACAGCAGCCCTCTGCCCACAGTACTACTGCTGCAAGAAGGACGAGTCGGAGGAGGACGAAGAGGAGCCGGACTTCGCGGTGCACGCACACCTGCCCCCGCTGCACTCCAACCGCAACCTGGTGCTGAGCAACGGGCCAGCGCTCTACCCGGCCGCCTCCACCTCCTTCAGCCAGAGGTCCCCGCAGGCCCGCGCCCTCTGCCGAAGCTGCTCCCGCTCCGAGCCGCCCGCCTTCTTCCTGCAGGAGCCTGAGGACGAGGGCGTCAGCAACGGCGGGGAGCGCGTGGCCTACAGGAGCATCAGCCAGGAGGACGTGGGGCCGCCGCCCGGGGCCTTCGGGGGGCTGCAGGCGCTCAACCCCAACCGCCTGTCAGCCATGCGGGAGGCCTTCTCCCGCAGCCGCAGCGTCAGCACTGACGTCTGAGTGCATCCCCCGCCCCCGGCAGGGCCTGAGACCATGGCGGGGGGTCCCCACCTGGCCCCGGGGCCCCGAACACAGCGTTCCTCATGTGCCCACTGGTGCAGGCACTCCGGGGCTCCCTGCAGGGGTCAGACCCAGTGAAGGCCGATGGGGCCGCCCCGGGCAGCGGCTGCCGGGGCCTGGGTCTGCAGGGAGGCAGGCGTGATGCGGGCGCAGGTGGGGCCTCCAGGCGCCCAGGCTGCAGAGGGAGGCGGGGCTCTGGGGCACGGACACCAGGCTGCGGATGCCAGGGCTGCCGTCAGGAAGGGGCCAGGGGACAGGGACTCCCTGGGTCTCGGTCTACCTACTTGTTTAAGGATGAGGTGGCGGCTGCCAGGCTGGGGCCCTGCAGCTCACGCCTTGGGGGCCAAGTCTCCTGTCCCCCAGAATAAGGACCCCCCACCATCCCCACACACCCCGGCTTCCAGTGCAGCTGAGACCCTGCTTGAGCCCGCCTCCTTGCCAATGCCCAGAGAAAAGGGGGGTTTCTCGGGAAGTGCAGCCCCAACTGGCTTCTTGGTGAAAGTGGAGTGGGGAGGAGGCTGTGTGCCAACGCTCCCACTTCAGGAGTAAAACACGCAGCCCACTCCTCAGCCCTGATGTGGTCGGGCGGACAGAGCCACGCACCAGAGGCGGAAAGACCCACTGATGCCCCGTGGGACCTGAGACACGCCCTCGGGTCCCCAGGGGGCCAGGCCTGCGCCCTCCCACCTGGCCAGTCTCAGGAGGACCTGGGAGCAAGGCCTCAGGCTGCCCTTCCCTGCGCTGGCCCCCGGCCCCCCGGCCCCCCGGGTGAGGACAGCTGAGCTCAGCCCCCACCAGGCCCCCTCAGGCCCAGCGGCTCCTCCCTCCACCCAGCGGGAGAGCTGCCCCAAACCCAGGATGCCTGCCGTGACCCAGGGGCGCCTGCCCCAAACCCAGGATGCCTGCCGTGACCCAGGGGNTGGGGGTGGGGGAAGGGTCCGGAGGTGGCACTTCTCGTGGCCGTTCTGTTCGGTCTCCTGTTTCCTTGTCTGGTCTCTGGCCTCTGTATAGATTCCTAGATCCATCTGACATCATCAACACACACACACCCATCCAAGCTCTCCCTCAGCTCTGCTGAGGAGACTGGGGGAGCTGCCTGCTCCCCGACAGAATCGTGAGCCAATAAAACTCTCCGACACCTCGCCCGCTGTCTTTGGTCCGCCCGGGATTCCTCTCCTGAGCTTCCTGGCAGGGGCTGCATCCAGCCCAACCCCAGACAGAGTGGGTCCTTCCTTCCCATCCAGCCCCAGGGATCAAGGCTCTGCCCAGAGGGACTGGTCCTGGTCGCAGCCATGTTGGGTTTTGACTTTCCTGGGGTGTCTGTATCCATCTTGAAAGATTGGAAACCACTGGCCTGAAAGCCCCGGGCTCCTGGAGTGTGGGCTGGGGGAGAGGACCTGTGTCAGCTGGGGCAAGTGACCGACCCCTGTGGGCCTCGGTCTTACCATCCACACAATGGGCGGTGATGCCACGGGATCCACGGGCCTCTGAGGAGGATGAGAGGAGGTGCTGGCGTGCTCTGGGCACAGAACCTGGCCCGGGGGATGCGGGATGCGCACAATAGGTGCTGGGGGGTGGGGAGACATCAGGGAAGGGGGAGGGGGAGTGGAGGAGGGGAAGGCGGGGAGTGACTGGGCGTGATGGTGGGGGGTGTCAGGGAGCCCTGGGCCCCTGGATTGCGGTGATCCCACCTCCACCGGAACCGAGCCGCAGACCCTGAGGAAGCCCACCCCACAGGCCTCCACCTTCACGGCCACTCGCCCAACTGTGACGCTGTCCTAAACACTGCGGCCCACCCTGCTCTGGTCCCGGTCTGGGGACAGAAGGCCCTGCATCCCAGCCACGCAGCCAGGCAGCCGCTCACCTCACTGCTTCCTGTCCCCGACGGAGACCCTCCCCGCGGCATCCGCGCCCAGGGCAGACTCGCTGTCCCTCAGCCGGCGGATAGCCAGACCCTCCCTCCTCTGCTGTGGCCAAACCCAGGTGCTTTCAGCATCTTAAACACCCACCCCTCTCCCCGGAGGCTTTAGAGTCACTCCTGCGGCTGGACCAGCCGAAACATCACCTCCTCTGGGAAGCCTGCCAGTGTCCCGGCGCCCGCCAGTCCAGATGAAGGGGGCTCTTCTAAGAGGCCCGGAAGCACTAACGAGGGCTGTGTCCTGAGCTCCCCACGTGAGCCCGCACTGTGCCTCCCGCCCCGCCTGCCTCACCCCTTATGTTCTTCCCAGCACAGGCGGAAGTGGGAGCTTCCCCCCAGGGTGCGGGTGCTGGAGGCCCCTCGGGCCCCGTGGGCCCAGGCCCCACAGCCCAGTTCTGACTCCAGCACCTGAAGCCAAAGGCCCCTGAGTCCCTCCCTGCAGGCGCCATCTCCCCTGTCCTCTTCTGTCTGCTTCCCCCCGAACTGGCATTTCCTCAGGGAGACACTGCAGCCCAGCCCTAGTCCCCCCAGCCCCAGCCCGACCCAGCCCCGGCCCCAGCCCTAGCCCCGGACCCGGTCCCAGCCCCAGACTCAGCCTCAGAACCAGACCCGGCCCCAGACCCAGCCCTGGTCCCAGCCCCAGACTCAGCCTCAGAACCAGACCCGGCCCCAGACCCAGCCCTGGTCCCAGCCCCAGACTCAGCCTCAGAACCAGACCTGGCCCCAGACCCAGCCCTGGTCCCAGCCCCAGACCCATACCTGGTCTCAGACCCAGACTCAGCCTCAGAACAAGACCCGGCCCCAGACCCAGACCTGGTCCCAGACCCAGTCCTGCACCCGAGGCTGCATCAGACCTTCTGGGGCGGTGAGCCGGAAAGATACCCAACCCCTCGTGGCAGAGCCCCGGACAGCCCACGATGCCACCATAAATACAAGCACTTTATTAACATACAGAGATTACTGCCGACGACAGCACGGCCTCGGGCCGTGAGAAAGACGCCCCTCCCGGGCGTAAAGTGCGGTGGGTCCCTCCGTGCCAAGAGCTTCCGATCGGGAGGCGAGCGATGCTAAGTTGTGAGATTGCGAGTGCCCCGCAGGGAGTCACCAGGGACGCTCAGGGCCCGAGGCACCGGGCGCCCCCGCGGCCCCTGCCTGTCTCCTGGGCCTGCGGCCCCGCAGGGAGACGGCATGCTCCCGGGCCTCTGGGGGGTCGGGGAGCCATCCTCGCAGCTCTGTCCCAGGGTGGGGGGTGCCGACGGGCGCGCCGGGGATGGGGGGCTCTCCTGCCCAGGGAGAGCAGGGGCTCAGTGTCACGTCTTCACAGCTGGGCGCCCTGCAGGAAGGGTGTCCGTGAAGGGGCTGCTGCGGCCCCAGGGACGGGGTGCTTGGTCTCTGAGGGCCGGCCGCCGGGCCTAGGAGTGCGGCGGCCTGCAGGAGCGGCAGCAGGCCTTGCTGTAGTACCAGTGGCCGCAGAGGTTCACCTTGATGGCCAGGGCGCAGTTGGTGCCCGGCTGGTCCTGGCAGCTGTCATCTGAGGAAGGGACCGCAGCGCATCAGGGGCGGTGGGGCGGGGCGGGGGGCGATGTGGCAGGATCCGCGCCCCGCCCCTTCCATCTCCTCTCCTGGAGCTCGCCCTCCCTCGCACCCCTCGCCAGGGACGACAGGACCCCACAGGTGAGGTGAAGCGCCCACAAGGAAGGCAGATACCCAGGGACCAGGATTTGGAGGAGGCCCTGACCTCACCCCAGAGGCCTGAACATCCCCAGGAGGCCCACCGGTGCCCTTCCACTATTTTGGGTCCAAATTAGAGCTCATCACCGGGCCCTGGTGCCCCCCCGAGCCTAGGACCCGCCTGCATCTTCCAGGTGCCCGAGCCACAGAGCCTGCTTCAGGCCCTCACCACCCTGCCCCTGTGTGGCCAGCTCAAAGTTGCTCTGGATGAGTTTGTCCCGGCCCTGGCCCCCTGCCCCACAGCCCATCTTCTGAAGCCAGATGCTCTTTGAAAGGGCGGGTCTCGGCCTGGCTCCTGGGGGCCCCAGGCTCCAGTCAGATCTCACCTGCCGCCCTTCCCACCCACAGCTCCCAGCTGGACTCAGCCACTCCAGGAGAGAGACTTCGCTCCCCGCCCTGCCTTGGTCTCTGGAGCCAAGAGACCCTCCTGGATGACTGCCTGCTCATCCGCCAGGCCCTGGCATGGCCTCCGCCTCTGCGTCCTCACCTGGGGGCTCCGTGGGGCAAGCCTGCAGGTCACAGGCTTGTCTGCCAACAGGCTTCACCAGCGGGTCGCAGCCCCGGACGATGTCGGTGCCCTGGTAGCACTTCACGTCGCGCATCCGCACACCTGCCCCGCAGGTCTTGGTGCACTGCCCGGGGAGAGAGAGCGTGACCGAGACCCCTCCGGCGGGGCGGGGGGTCCGACAGAGGAGGGGTGGGACCTCCTCTGGCCAGGTTGCTGAGTCTCCATGGACGCGGGACACATAGACGCTCGGGGGCTCAGGGTGGTGAGCGAAGGAAGGACAGGCCAGCAACCAGGAGATGCTGCTGCCCCTGCCCCCGCCCCCCACTCCCACTCCCACCTTACTACTCAGCTTCCCAGTGAGGGCGTGGACCCCCCATCTCTGCCCCCAGGAGGGCCCTTTGGTTCCAGCTCTCCAGCGTCCTGCGCTGCGGGAGGCTCAGGACACAGGGGGCCAGAGCCCAGGGAGAGGATGGCTTCCCACTCCAGTTAAGAGCTGGGGGCCAATTAACTACATCTTCCAGAGCCAGCACCCCCACCCACGGCTCCCCATCCAGATGTTCCCCTCGGAAAACCCCGCCATGCCGCCCAGAATGCCAGGGCCATCTGCTGACCCCAGTTACCCCGCTGTCCTCCCGTCGAGATCCTAGAGGCGGTGGCTCCCTCCGGCTCCCCCTGCTGTGGGTGACCCCATATCACCCAGGCTCAGCTGGGACCTCAGTCTGCGGAGGTTGGGGATTGGGGTTCCAGTCCTGACCACCCTTCCCCTCCCCCCTCCAGTTCTGTTTGCAGAAGCACTGGGAGGCTTCCAGCCCAATGCCCACACCCAGCTTAAGGAAACTAGCGCAGCCTGGAGGACTGAGCCAGGCAACAATCAGCCTTTAGGGGGGATGCCCCAAGGCGCCCCTAGCTGTCCCCCACCCCCCAGAGAGAACGCACATCTGGCCTTTCCTGGCACCCACTCCTACCACCCTGGGTGGACGGCTTGGAGGACGCGTTCTTACTAAGCCCCCCTCCCAGGCAGAGGCGGCCACAGGGGGAGAAAGACCCCACCCCAACCAGGGACAAGGACATAGAGGTCCTTCTGCCCACGGTCTGGTCACCCCTCGCCCACCCACCATCATCAGGGTGATGGGTGCCCTCCCCCCGTGCCCCCAGGCTCCTGGGCAAAGACCTGTCTGGGCCTTTCCATTGGCCCGCCCCCCGGAAGCTGTGCATCCCCAGGTGGAGGGGGCCTTGGGGCGGGGGCTGGTGATGCGGCCCAGGAGAGGGGGGAATGCGTGGGAACCAGTAAAAACCTCCACCTAGACGCGCCCCTGGACTGTAAGAGGGGCTCGAAGGGGGTCAAGTCCTGAGGCAGCTCCCCGCAGGAAAGGGGCCAGAAGGGAAAAGCACCGGTTAGATGGGCCCCCTTTGCTCGGCCAGAGACCTGGGGAGCAAGGTGGACCTGGGCTGTCCCCCCTGTCTGCAGGCAGCCCCGCACCCCTCCGCTCCCGTGGGGGTCCATGGACCTGGGCTGCCGCCCCCCACAGGCAGCCCTGTGCCCCTCCGCTCCTGGGGGTGGGGGCTGGCTCGGACCTCCGTCACTCTGAAGGTCCCTCCCCCTGCCTGGAGCAGTGTCCAGCATCTGCTAAGTTGGGTCAGTTCTGTCTCTGTACTTGGGTTTCTTTCCCCACAGGGGACAAAAAGGGGAGCCCCCTCCCATGGTGCTGTTGGGAGGAAGAAAGGAGCCCCTCCGTCAAGTGCTGGGCCCGGCCCACCCGAAGGGCCTGGAAGGTGAGGGTCTGCTCCCCGCTGTAGAGAGTGGAGAGGCCGCGCTCCGGGCCACCCTCCAGCCAGAGGCCGAGGAAGGAGCCACAGGCTGGTGTCAGGGCAGCGGCCGCCACTCCTCCTGGCTTCCCTCTGCTCGGGGCGCACCGTCCTCCCAACCCCGGGCCTCTCAGATTCTGTGTCCCTGCCCTGACTCTGACTCCCCACCCTCCCAGTGCCCACCTGAGATCTGTCTGTTCCATGCTGGGTGTCAGGCACACAGGCTTTCAAATGCATGACTGAAAGGCTTACAATGCAAGGCCAAAAAAAGGGCCCTGGACGAGCCCAGCAGGGATCCCAGAGGTGAGACCCAGGAGGACTTCCTGGAGGAGGCGGCCCTCACGCCCGCCAGCGTGGAAGCACTGACAATCCCTGATGGAGGCTGAGCCGGGGGACGTGAGGGGCACTCGGGGTGCGGGAGGAGGCCTTTCGGCAGGACCAGAGATCAGGCCTGGCCTTAGGAGGGCCAGTGCAGCGCTCACCTCAGACCAGGGGCTGGTGTACCACTTGAAGCAGGGCCTCTCGAAGCAGGTGCTCTCCTCGGGGGGCTTCTTGGCCAGGCCACACTCGGGGCCGCTGCGTGTCTGCGGCTTCCCGTTGGCCAGCTCCATGCACAGGACCAGCCTCTTCTTCACGCCTCTGCCACAGGTCGTGTTGCACTGGGGTGGGAGGGCAGACAGGTTAGGGGTCAGGGGCCAGAGGTCAGGAAGACCAGAACCCGGGGTCCGCAGCCACGCCCGTTGAAACGGCTCGGTCAACAGCACGTGAGCAACAGCTAAGATCAACGACACACTGGCTGAGAACTTGCGGGTCGATAACCACGTGGCCCCAAACAGATTTGATCAGAAACAATTTAGCAGAAAAACCATCTGTTGTGAAACAAAATGGTTAATGACCATTTGCCTGGCGATGAATTAGCTGACAGCAATCTGCCTGAACCAAGCGGTTGAAAGCCATGTGGTTGGGCACCGTGTGTCTGAAAACGGCAAGCTGGTGACCTTGACAGGTCACCAGAGGTCATGAGAACAAAGCAACGTACAGTGCCCACGGCCCAAGGACCCCCAACCCTGGGCTTCCACCTTGGGGACATGGGGTCATGGGAAACGGATCGGCCCCGCACGCCTCACCGAACATGCGCTATTTAGATTTGGGACTTTTTAGGCAGTTTTCTTACCTTTTTTGTTTTTTGTTTTTTTCCATTTCAAGTTAATGTTTAGTGGATTGTGACATCATAATTTCCAATTAATTCCTCGTTTGGCCAACCTGCCCTTCTGTCCACCTGGCTGTCGGCCAGTTAGATGCCTGCCGGGCGGGGGGCACTCACCCGCTCCCAGTCCTGGGCCAGCCAGTGGGCGGGGCAGTTCTTGTCCCCGCAGGGGTGGATGGCCAGCGGCTTGGTCTCCATCTGGCACTGAGACTCAGGCACGACCCGTCCGTCGCTGGTCTTGCAGTACACGTGTCTGATCATGCGGCCCTGCCCGCAGCTGCCGCTGCACTGCAGGGGGACACCCGGGGTCAGAGGCAGAGCCCCTCCCAGGGCCCCCGGACCTCCTTCCACAGAGAGAAGAGCAGCGGGGGGGGGGGGAGGGGTTGCCACGGTAACCATGTTTTAAATACCATGCTCTGTTCTAATTACAGAAAGATGGCATGTTCGATGAAAAACACACAGAGAAAATCACACCTAAGACCCCAGAAGAGTCCCCTGTGCACCCAGCACCCAGAGGGGACCCCAGTGGGCATCTGAGCTTCTTATCCAGGTGGGAGAAAAGAGAGACAGGCAGGCAGGGAGCTTATAATGGGGGCATCGCAATGGGCCCACTTGTGTCGGTTCAAGGTTCTGATCCCCCGTGATCACACAGGTCAGCCCTCTGAGCCCCCAGCCGGGCTGCCCTCACCGGCCCCCAGTCGGAGACGGTCCACTGGCGGTCGCAGGGGGGCCCTGTGCAGTCCTTCTCCCCCACAGGCCTGGTGCTGGGGTCACACAGCTTCTCGTCCTCCGAGCAGCGGATGTCCCGGGTCACCACGCTGCGCTCCCCACACTTGGCCGTGCACTGCAGGGAGACGGCGGAAGGGCGGGCTCACAGCCACCCCAGCTGCACGCAGGACCACGCGGACATCTCCCACTGCGGCCCGCAGGCCCCCACCCACCCCCAGCCCGCACACACACCTCAGACCACTCGGACATCTCCCACTGCGGCCCGCAGGCCGGGTTCCGGCAGGTCTTGCGCTCCTCGGGCCGCACGGCCTCCGCCGCCTCGCACAGGTCGCTGTACACGGAGCTGTCGAAGCCGGGCGACAGCATCTTCCAGCAGCGCACGATGCGCGACTGGTAGCCCTCACCGCAGGTGCGTGAGCACTCGCTCCAGCTGCTGGTCTCCCACCTGCCTCGGGAGGGCGCGGCCTTCAGCGACCCCACCCCCTCCCAGCCGCGACCCCACGCGGTTCCCTCCAGCCAGAGCGGTCAGGCCCTGCTACCTCCAACTTGGGGTCCTGCCTCAGTGTCCTGGAGCCCCCAGCCCCACTGAAGGGAAGAAGGCACCCCCATGACTGTACACCCAGCTTCTTGGAAAGGAGCAGACACAGGCTGAGCAGAGACCCCAGGACAGAGCAGAGACCCCAGGATGGAATAGAGACCCCAGGATGGACCAGAGACCCCACGACAGAGCAGAGACCCCAGGATAGAATAGAGACCCCAGGACGGACCAGAGACCCCAGGATGGAATAGAGACCCCAGGACGGACCAGAGACCCCAGGACAGACCAGAGACCCCAGGATGGAATAGAGACCCCAGGACGGACCAGAGACCCCAGGACAGACCAGAGACCCCAGGACGGAGCAGAGACCCAGGACGGAGCAGAGACTCCAGGACAGGCCAGAGACCCCAGGACAGACCAGAGACCCAGGACGGACCAGAGACCCCAGGATGGAGCAGCCCCCTGGACGCGGCATGGCAGATCCCCAGCGCACCCGCCCCCAGCATGTGCCCTGTCCGGGGCCTGGGGGGCAGGTACCTGGGCTGGCACTCCCTGCCTGCACAGAACTCCTGGACGGGCTCGGGCCGCGTCAGGGCGTCGCAGTAGCTGTCGTCCACCTCAATGCCGTCATAGCGGACACACATGGCATAGGTCGACATGACCCCTGGGTTCAGGACAAGGGAAGGGCGCTGTGAGCCCCCTGTGAGCACCTGGAGGCCGGCAGGTGGTCCCCGAGGCTGTGGGCGGGGCACCCGGCCTCTCGGGGCTTCCTGGTTTCAGTCCCGCTGACCGGACTGTGGGCGGATCCCAGCGAGGCCGGGCCTGTGCATCTGAGCTCCCTCCCCACCTGGGCCGAGGGCCTGAGTGCTTCTCTGCACAGTCTTCCCTGCCCACCCTGTGCTGCGTCATAGACCCTGAGCTGAAACAAGGAGGTGATGTGTTGGTTGCTTCAGGCGTGTCCAACTCTGCGACCCCGTGGACTGTAGCCCACCAGGCTCCTCTGCCCATGGGATTCTCCAGGCAAGACTACTTGGGAGTGGGTAACCATTGCCTTCTCCAGGGGATCTTCCTGATCCAAGGATCGAACACAGGTCTTTTGCGTTGCAGGCAGATTCTTTACCATCTGCCCCCCAGGGAAGCCCAAGAAGTCACAAACACTGCACTTTTAGTAAACTCAGAATGGGCCTTACAGAGGCGCAGAGACAAACCCAGCCAGGTGTCACTCACTCATTCATTCAATGACTATGAGTGGGTAGGTGGGTGGATGGATGAGTGGACGGGTAGGTTGGTGGTGGATGGACAGATGGATGGGTAGGTTAGTGGTGGAAGGATGGATGGTGGATGGACGGATAGATGAGTGAATGGATGAATGGGGAGGTTGGTGGATAGGTGGGGAAGTATGGATGGATGCGCTTCGCAGACTCCTCAGATATGACATTAGACCTTCAGATCCTCCTGCCCTCCCATGGCATGCCCCAGTCCTTATCCAGCTCCCTCTCAAACTTTCTTTAATGATTTTTGTGATTAAATACCTGCTACTCTATAAATCTAGGGCCTCCCTGATAGCTCAGTCAGTAAAGAATAAGCCTACAATGCAGGAGAACCCTGTTCAATTCCTGGGTCAGGAAGACCCACTGGAGAAGGGCTAGACTAACCGCTCCAGTATTCTTGGGCTTCCCTTGTGCCTCAGTGGGTAAAGAATCTGCCTGCAATGTGGGAGACCCGGGTTCGAACCCTGGGTTGGGAAGATCCCCTGAAGAAGGGAAAGGCTTACCCACTCCAGTGTCCTGGCCTGGTGAATTCCATGGACTAAGTCCATGGGGTCACAAAGAGTCAGACATGACTAAGCGACTTTCATCTCACTTCACTTCACTCTATAAATCCCGTGGGGGGACCGTATGTAAAGGGCCAGCCTTCAACCAAAATTATTCATTCCTTGATCGCCACCTCCACCTTCTGCTTCTCCAGTCTTCCTGCCCTGCACCCCCATGCCAGGCACCAGGCTGACGCAGGGGCCAAACTCTCTCCACAGTGCGTGGTTCCCTCCATGCCAAGGAGCCAGGGTGACTCAGGGCAAGTGTGAACACGGGTGGGGTCAGGGGCCGTGGTTGTCATTATTACTGGTGTGTGTGTGCCAAGGGGCAGGGACCCAGCCTTGCTGGATGCTGGAGAGAGCAGAGTCCTCCCCTCGGGGGTTGCGCTGCCCCATAAACCAAGGGGCCCTGCCGACGCGCTCCCTGCCCAGGGGCGCGTGTCTGAAAGCCGGCAGCTCCTGCCTCTCCAAGCCCCAGCCTTGGATGGAATGAAAACAGCCTGGGAGGCGGCCCACACGGGGACTTTCTTTTTTCCGTGAGGGACGAGCCAGGTTGCAATCACGGCTTCCTCTCTGCCAGCGCCGGGCTGTGTCGTCTTTAGCCGTCGCTGAGCGGGGAGCTGGCTTCCTGGCCAGGCCTGCTCAGAATGTTCCAGAGACACCAGTTCTGGGGCCCAGGAAGGTCCAAGTCAGGGGACTCGCAGGCCCTCAGCAAGCGTCTGTTTGTTCTCTCCTCGTCATCCAGGGAAAACACAGCAGATCCTGATCAGGAGGGACGGGACTCCTGGTCTCAGCGCTGTCCCCGGCTGGGGGTGACGTGAGGGCGGTCAGACTCTCCAGGCCTCCACTTGCCACTCACCCCCTCCCAGGGACCCCCCACACGGGACGGGAGGCGCGGCTCCGGTCTTCTGGACACCCGCCTCACGGCGTCAGTCCTGAATGCGGGGCTTCTCAAGCCTTCTTACCAAGCCCTCCCTCTAAAGGAAAGGAGCAGAAGGCCCCGACGCCGGACTGAATGGGCCTTTTCTGCCCACAGGCCAGGGATCTCAGAGCCCGTCGGGTCCACTCCCCCCGCCCTGGACCAGGGTGCCGAGAACCCTCGGGAATCATCCCGTGTGACTCAAGTGAAGGGTCCAAACTGATCCACCTGCCTCTCTCCCACTCTCAAGAGCATCTTTAAGGAAAAGAAAGAACGCTTGCTGCTATGACCGGGGCTCAGGACATAGGAGACTTGCTGATCGCCAGTGATGAGGTGGAAGTTTGCACAGGCCCCGCAGGCCACAGAAGGTTTGTAAACCACCACCCTCTCCCCCGTCGCCCAGAGCTGGCCTGGGGTCGGCGCCCCGGAAAGTGGGATTTCGAGAGGAGCCCGCCACAGGGTGTGCAGAGGTGAGCCATTCTGCAGGGACCTCAGCTCACCGCTTCTGTGGGGTGCTGCCCACCCTATTTGGTGTCTCTGTGGCAACGGGGAACTCACTCGGTCGGGGCGGCTCACTCCAGTCCCAGACAGGCTCGTCTGAAGGAGAGCACGTCCTTTCAGCAGAGCCAGAACCTGTCTTCCTCACTTCCTTTCTTCTTGCATCCTACTGTGCACCTTGGGCCACCCAGGGTGGGCCAGCCCGCCCCCTGCCCGGCACTCTGCGGGCACCGAGTCACCCTGGATGAGCTCCCTGGGGACCGCCTTCTGCCCAGGGCCAGGCTCAGCCGCTCACCCCCAGGGCGGCTTCATCCCGGAGGGATCTCAAGCCTTGTCACCTCCCAGGAAGGGACATGTGCAACGGGAACGAAAGACACTCCCCGCCACGTGTGCTGTGGCCACCTCGGCACGCGTGGGGTCCGAGGGATGACGTCGGGGCTCCCGATTCAGAACAGGACCCTGCCCTTCAAGGGCAGGCTCTCAAAGCAGGCTCCCCCAACATCCCGCTCTCCCCAGCACTCAGCCCCGACTTCACTCCCTGGACCAGAGCTGTGGCTGCTCCTGGCCCCATTGGTGGCACACAGCAGCAGCGGTCCTGCTGACGGCGCCCAGCTGTCAAGCTTTGACCCTGATTGCTTATTTTTCCTTTCCCATCTACCCCTATAACCACGTTTGGATAGGTGGACGTCCCATTTTATAGGTAGAGAGGGGAGACTCAGCAATTAAGAGCATGGGGTGTGGACGACCAAATAGTTCATCCCAAGTGCTCACCACACCCCCACAAAGCCCTCCTCGAACCCTCGAGAATATCAGGGGGCAATCTCAGCCCGTCACCTGCCCTGCTCAGGGGAGGAAGGATGGTGTAGCAGGAGTGGGCCCGGCTTCCCGCCTGAGACAGAGAGCTGGTGGTCCGCTCAGCGCCCCGCAAAGCTGTTTCCCCAGCTCCTTCTTCAGCCCCATCTCCTGAGATGCCGGTCATCCCCAGGCCCCCGGCTGCCCAGGGCCCAGTCAGCCACTTGCTTCTTTCGCCACGCTGGCCAGAGCGTGCGGGGGTCCCCAGAGCGTGCGGGGGTCCCCAGAGCTCTGGCCAGCTGGGGTGGGAGTGCAGAGGCAGAAGCAAGGGCCTCGCACGTTTTCAGCAGCAGCAAGCCCAGTCTTGCCAAAACACCAAGTCCCAGGTAGAAATAAGGCAGCACCCGCCCCGGGGTCTCCCTGCGTTTGCCGCAGGCCAGCACCTGGGTCTGCTGTCCAACCTTACAGAGGAGGGGACCAGGGCTGGTGGTGGGGTCCCAGACTCTGGGCTGCAAGCCAGCGTCTTGGTGCAGCGGCGGCCGGCCCAGTGAGCAGACAGACATAGGTTCAAGGCCTGGCTTGACACTTACTGATCCCATGTGTCTGTCTGTCCAGGCAACCCCAGGATCTGTTATCCCCCCAGCTGTTTCCTCCCCAGACGAGGTCCTAGAATCTGAGAAGTTTCCTCTCTCATAGTCCACACGGGTCTACTCCCCGCTTCTCACCCCCTGAGATTTCCTACCTCTTAACCAAGAGGAGGATTTTCCTAACAATGTACGAAATGCGGAAAGATAAACGAGGGAGCCTTGGGAGTGCTGACTGACCCCCACACGGCTGGGCCTTACATGGTCCATCATGAGGACACCCAGACTGCCACCACGTCCCCCCACATCCTGTGGGCCAGGAAACCGCTAGACTAGCTGACCGCGGGCAGTTCAGGGCTACAAGCAAGCGGACAGGCCCCGAAGCCCAGACTCACGCCCGCCGTGGAGGTGGGCTCGCAGGCGCCCCCGGCCGTCTCAGGTACCTGTGGTGCAGGTGGAACTGCAGGGCTCGTGGGACGAGAGCTTCCACCGGTACATGTCCGCGGGGCTCACGCCCTGCTTGCGGGACTTGGGCCTGGTCCTAAAAGCAGGTGAAGCAGAGAAGGGGGTGAGTTCCGTGGAAGTGTGTGTTCTCATCACTGCAGGGTGGGGGACGTGGCTGTGTGTACCTGTCCTGAGCCCCTCCCCCGGGCAGAAGGGCAGAGTCCCGCTGCCCTTCTGGGGGCCCCAGAACCCACTGTTTAGAAGGAGTGCCCCCAGGGTGGCAGGGCTAGGAGGAAGGGGGAGCTGGCACTTTCCATCCCAACAGCTGGCTGAACACACAGCCCTGCGGCTGTCTGGGCCCCACTGGGGGCTCTGGGGGGGTGGGTGAAGAACCTGGCTCTCCCCGTCATAGTGGCCCCTTCCACACCCACAGGCCTCTCACCGCCCCCCTCCAGCAGGAGTACGCCGATGCCTCCTCCCCCATCCCCAGGAAGGGACCGCAGAGGCACCTGGTGTGCGTGGAAGATGCCGGAACCCTCTCCCGAGGCCTTCCCCAGCAGGGATTCTGGCCACCGGGCCTCCGGGGATCAAAATAGACCAGCCCGGGGGCAGGCGGGGGAGGGGCCGCGTCCCCTGCAGACGCCTCTGCCCAGGTCTGCGAGGGCTGCTGAGCAAGGGAACGCCGAGCTGGGTCCCCGCCAGCGACGGGCTGGGATTCTTGGCCGGAAGTCAGGCGGCCCAGCCAACTATTGTTCGGACTGTTTGCTTCTTTGAACCAGTCGGTGTGCTGGGCCCAACCTCGGGATCCAATGTGCCGGCTCGCTGTGGACTCGGCAGGGGCCGAGCGAGGTGGTGGAGGCGTCTCCCGGAGCCTGGGATCTGCCCTGAGAGGCAGCTGCCCCCGGAGCCAGCCAGGGGGCATGGGGCGATGGGCCCACCATCCAGCCCCGCTTCCCTTCCCACCCAGAGGGGCTGACGGAAGGCCCCTGAAGCTGAGACCCTCGCACAGGGCACACCCACAGGCCCTTTCTCGGGGCCTTCTGTCGCCACGGAGGTCAGGCTTGGAGCAGGGTTTGCAGGGCACACACTCTAAAAGGCTTTCCAGGGACTCCCCTGGTGGTCCAGCGGTTAACACTTTGCTTTCCAATGCAGAAGTTAAGGGTTCGACCCCTGGTCAGGGAGCTAAGACTCCACATGCTTCATGGCCAAAATACCAAAAATCCATTAAAAACAGAACTAATATTGTAACAAATTCAGTAAAGATTTTAAAAATATGGTCCAGACCAACGACAGCAACAACAATAACCACAACCAAAAAAAAAAAAACCTTTAAACAAATAAATAAAAGGCTTTCCAGCCGATTCTGTGATGGAGACATCGGTTTGGACTTGACTGGGAGTTTACTGTTTGCCTTCCAACTTCTGGAATTTCACAAGAACAGCTCTTAGACTGCACTTGTGGCCTTGAAGGCACGTCCTGCTCTGAGGACCAGGAAATAACCTACCTACGGACGGACATGAAGTCATGAATTCACTGATATGGTTCCATGAGCCCAGGAAGGAGCAAAGCAATGGAGTGGAAAGCCTACGGCAGTCCGTTGCTGGGTCACAGCCCCCAAGACCCCTCGCCGGCTAGCCTCACCCTCCCCGCCGCCCCAAGCCTGCCCCGGCCTTGCCACACATACAGGGGGAATCAGAAGGTCCTCCCCTGTCCTCCTAAAAAGTGAGGGGGCCCTTTCAGATGGGCCCCCCACCCACCCGAGACCAGGCGTCTCAGCACAAAGGGCCTGCGGCGCCTCCTCGGGGAGGGAGAGGCGGATGCCCCGCACAACACCGTGACCCCCGCCCTCCTGTCAACAGCTTCCAAATCTCCCCAGGAACAAACAAGGACCACAGGCTTCAGCCCCCGCCCTGCCACCCCACCCATGGAGGAGCCGCGCCATCTTTATCTAATTACACACTCCTGGGCCAGCAGGCAGCGTGACTCACGGTGAAGAGACAGCAAGCCATTCAAAATAACCCCCTGGGTTTTCAGCACCAAAGGTCTTTCTGGAGGGGCTGCCTGTCCCTGTTCACACCAGCGCAGCGCAGGGGGGCCCTCCTGCCTGAAACGCGTCTTTGCACAATAATGTGACGCCTAAAATGCTCTGCTCTCTGCAGAGAAAAGCACCCAGAAAATTGAACCAACAGCCCTCCACCGCCTCCGTCTGGAGGGAAGCTAGCGCCCGCTGATTGCCAGGCTGGGCCAGGCATCTTGCAGGGACGCTCCAAGTCCTTCATCTCCAACTTTCCCTGGACGGCCTCGATGGTTCCTAACAGGCTCAGAAAGAGCTTTGCTTCCCTGCCCCCACCCAGGCTGCGAGAGAGACCCCAGGTCTGCATCCCAGCCCTGGCGTCTGGAGTCAGGCCTCCCCTGGTTGTTCCAGGCGGTTCTGAGAAGGTGAAAATAACCTTGCTCTCTGGACCGTGCCTGGATTGCGCCCTCCCTAAGCAGACACGACTTCCTGTGTTTGGACAATTTGCCGCGCCGGGGCTATTTTGGCCTGGCGGTTTCCCCCCGCCGCCTACTCAGCCCTTTATCTCCAAAGGCCATCTTTGGTCTCCCGTCAGCAGTGTCCTTTGAAGCCACTGGCGGGGCAGCGGCCCCATCTCACCCCATTGGGACTGTCTGAGCCCTGATGGCCATTGTATTGGTTCCTGCATCCCAGACATCCCCCTAAGGGCCCAGGGGTGGGGGCAGGAACCCACGGGACCAGACGGGAAAGACTCTTTAAAATGTGGCTTAAGGACCTGAGAGCTGCTGCTGTGACCCAGCCTGGGGATCCCGGGATGCCTGAACTGACGGCCCTGACGAGCCCCTCCCTTGGGGACAGGGCACGGAGACCCACAGAGGATCACCGATGTGTCCTAACGCCATGGGACTCAGGTGTGCGAGTCTGTGTGTGTGCGTGCGCCCGTGTAGCGGGGCAGAGCTAGGATGGTGACCCGGATCTCCACCGCACTTTCCGGGCCTCCAGCTGCATTACACAGCAGCCTGTGCTCCACCTCCATAAACCCATTCAGGCAGGGACCGACCATCGGACAGCTGGTCATCTTCACAAGCGTGGTCCCAGGAGGGCCCGTCCCCCATCCCTGGAGGCTGAGTGCATTCATGACCAGTCCCTGGTTCCTGGCTAGGTGCCCTGGATAGAATTCAGTCCTCTGGACACCCCTGGGGCTTAGAAGAGCCTCCCAGGATCAGAGAACAAGTAATTGGCCCCAGGTCACACAGGCAAGTGCAGCTGATTCTGAATCCCGCACTCAGACTCAGAGCCTGTCCTCCTCTAGCCTCTGGGTGCCACACACCCCTGAGGCCCACTTCCTGTGAGCTTCCGGACCCATGTCGGGCCAGCAGATGGCCTCGGGGGGAGGAAGCACAGCCACAGGGGCTCCGGGCCGCCCACTCTGTCCGCATTTGCAAAGTCTCCCCCTCAGAAGGGCCCGGATGTGCCGGGGAGTCTCACGGGGCCTCAGGAAAAACACCTTGAGAACAGGGCCAGAGGGGCATCTCCTGTGGGCTCAGGGGCCCAGCTCCCTGCTCTTGTCCTCTGCGGGTGAGTCGCCTCCAACCGTGCCACCTTAAGAGTGAACACCAAATATTCCATCAATCTCAGTTCCCTAAGGATGCCCACCTCTGCACCCCCAGCCCTGGCGAGGGTTCTGCTGGCTTGGTGTCTAAAGCCAAGGGGTCTAGGTGGGTCCGCAGAAAACAGGACGAAACAAAACCCGGGGGGGGCTTGTTCCAGCCTCCTGTCCCCACCCACACTGGCATCTGCTGGGCCCTCCTCCGTCTGTTTAGACAGCCTCATTGCCCTGCGAGCCTCTGGATGACAGGACAGTAGCCCTCAGCCAGGGGCCTGGTCGCCAGGATTGTGCTCTCGTAGAGACAGTGACAGCAGCAGGCCTGGAGCCACCCTGCTCCCAGCTGGCCCCAACCCTGGGAGGCTCCTGGCCTCAGATTCCTCCAGGGCCAGCTGTGACCGTCCAGGGGTCCCCAGCTGTGACCGTCCAGGCGTCCCCAGCTGTGACCGTCCAGGGGTCCCCAGCTGTGACCGTCCAGGCGTCCCAGCTGTGACTGTCCAGGGGCCCCAGCTGTGACTGTCCAGGGGCCCCAGCTGTGACCATCCAGGGGTCCCCAGCTGTGACCGTCCAGGCGTCCCCAGCTGTGACCGTCCAGGCGTCCACAGTGTATCCTCGCCGCTGGACTCTCCCACATCCCAAACCCAGAAGCCACTCCAGCCCCCACAGCCGGAGGTCTTGTTCCCAGTGCCTGACTCCGGGGTCTGGCTCCTGGCTGGGGACCCCACTGGACCATCCCCCAGTGTCCTCCCTGGCCGGCAGGGAAGGTTGTCCTAGCCACTCCACCTTCAGGGAACGTCCGCCTATGCCTGATGGCCACGAGTGCAACGACCGTCCAGATGAAGAACCATAGGACCGCAAGCCTCCAGGCTCTGAGCCCCGAAGGTGTCACTCACCTACCTCTCTGAGCCCCATATCAGTCCCTGAGGAGGGGGCGCTGGGATGAAAGCCCACCTCTGTACGGGCGATGCTCAGCCCCAAGTGCATGGAACTGTCCGCCTCCCCGCTTCCCGGCCCCACTGCAGAGCAGGAACTTCAAGCCATGGTACTAACTTGTGGGAAAGACGCTAAAACCCAGGCCTCCTGCTCCCCGAGGGGCCAGGCAGGGGCAGCCCCCTCCCCCTCACCTCTGCCCTGTGTCCCCCACCCCAACACCCCGGCCAGACAGGGCCGGGGGGGTGCCTACCTGGCCTTCTGGGTCCGGTTCCCGGCCAAGGCGGGGAGGCTGGCGCTGGCGTTGGGGAACGGGGCCTCGGAGGAGGTGTTGGCCACCCTGTCGCTGCTCAGCTCCAGGTAGGACCCGTTGAGCAGGTAAGCCCCGGCCCCCTCGCTCTCCTCATAGTCCAGGTAGAGGCTCTCGGCCGGGGAGCCCCTCGTGGCGCCCTGGGCAAAGATGCTGTTGACGGTCTCGTTGAGGGGGAGCTCCCTGGAGTCGGAGCCTGCACCCAGCAGCTGGTCGGAGATGGCATTGGCCGAGAGCAGCTCCTGGGAGGTGAAACGGGCGTCGGCCTCTCGGTCATCCAGGTCTCCCGCCAGAGCCGTCCGGGTGGCGTTACCATCTACGGGAGAGATGAGTGCTCAACCTCCCGTGACCCCTCGTGTGGGGCAAGGGTTGCCCTGGTTGTGGGGGGAGGGAGTGCTGACCGGGGGGCAGGGCTGCAGGAAAGACCCGACCCAGGAAGCACCCAGAGGCAGGTTTCCACCCAATGAGAGGACGCACATCGTCCAGCGGAGCCTCGCAAGCCAACCCAGACAAGCTCTCGCCGGGGAGCCTGCCTGAGCTCAGCAGGGGTGTCGAATAAGGTCTCCCCGAATGCATGCCTGCCCCGCAACCACAGAATGTGAGCTTCTGTGGAAATGAGATCTTCACAGACTTCAGAGCTCCAGAGTAGATTGCTACAGGTTTAGAGTGGGTACTAACTGCAGTGCCCCTGTCCTTAGAAGAACACGGGAGACGCACAGACAGAGGGGCAGCTGGCTGAAGACAGAGTCTGTGCGTTTCTGAGGCTTTACACCCCCAGCTTGCGGTCGGCTGCCAGCGCAGCCCCGAGGGACTAGCAGCCTCCAAAGTGTTTTCTACCTGGGGACACCGAGAGTCTCGGAGACGTGACCGAAGTCAGCAAGCGGGTTCTCCTCAAGCCTGGTCCGCCCTCCGCCCTCGGCAGGTGTGATGGTGGCGGCCAGCCCCCCACAGCCCTCAGGGGCACAGCCCAGCGGCCAGCCTGGGGCTCGGGGACCCCAATCAGGTGCCAGGGGGCACCCCGCGCCTCCCCCTGCTCCCCCCGGAGACTCCCCCTCGGCCCCTGCCTGGCTCATCCTTAACTCCCTCCTGGGCCCGCAGTTCAGGGGCCACCCCGCCAAGGGCTCGAGGTCTTCCCTAACCCCTCAGCTGCCCACCACTCCCTTCCAGAGCTCTCACCACACCTTGCTGCGTTGTCTGTCTGTCTGTCTGTCTGTCTGTCCCCACCAAGCGGTCAAGGGCACAGGCTATGGGGTCAGACCCACTGGAATTTGCCCCCAGCAGATGGGGATGGCGTCACTTGGGAAAGACCCCTCCCTGGGGCTCAGTCCCCACTTCGGTCAAGTGGAGACAGCCTTACCCACCTCGAAGAAGGTGTGTGGAGGTCACACCTGCCCCGCCAGCCTGCACGTGACCAGCACCGCCACTACCCTCTTCTGCAGGCTGCGGGTGCTGAAGACCCTTCACCCGAGGGCCCTCTCCCTAGGAGTGCCCCCCCACCCCGCCCCTCCTCCTGGTTACCTCGGAAGCCCTTGCCCCTGGGGGGCCCCTCGCAGGCCCTGCCGCTGGCCTGCGCGCACACCTCGTTGGTCTCCTGGCCTCTGCTCAGACCCAGCTCGATCTCTGGGCCCCGGTGGCCAAACAGGCGGTTGTCCAGGCCCAGCCGCTCCAAAGAGGCCTGGCCGAAGAGGGAGGCGTTGTGCTGCAGGAAGCCCACCAGCCCGGCCCCATCCAGCTCCTGGCTCTCCACGCTGTCGGAGGCGGGGTCCGAGAAGCTGTAGTAGACGGGCTGGAGGCGGTGGGCATGCGGCGGCTGCAGCAGCGTGTACTCGAAGGTGATGGAGGGGCTCTTGCCGTTCTGGTTCCACACCTGGGGGCAGGAGAAGAAGTGGGACCCCGGCCCCTCCCCCTCAGCCCTTCCCCACCAGCCTAGGGCGGCTGCTCAGCCCACCGTCCAGGAGCCCCTTGAGGACAGGAGACTCTGGTCCCGGAGTTGCAGGAGGGTTCCTGCCACACACAGGCCTACAGCTGAGTCCTTCCCGGGGACTCCCCCTCACCTGGATGACGCTGCCTCGCCTGCCCAAGGCCACACTTAGCCCCACGGGCAGCCCGTGTCCAAAGACAGGTGAACACAGCCCAGACCCAACGGACAAAGCCCAGGCACAGGCAGTCAAGGGTGCTCGGGTAGCAGAGTGTTTGAAAGGAAATAAAGCCAGTTAAAACCCAGCCTCGTTTTACCATCACCACGTGCCGGCAGTCCTAAGCAATAAGACTGGACTGTCCCCGCCACCTGCCGCGCTGGCCACGCGGGAAGGGCCAAGGCCCAGGCCCCTGAGAGCCCCCCACCATCACAGCTGGTGGGGGGTGTGCTGAGGCTTCTGTTGAGACCACGTCACCGCCAGCGTCTCCCCTACTGGTCCAGCTCCCGCCCCCACCCTTCCCGAGGGCTCGCCTGGTCTAAGTTAGCTGGTGCAAGAAGCCCCAGGAAGTGGGCTCTCAAATGGGAGTTTAGAGTAGGGTCCTCCACCAGCAGGGGTGATTCCCTGGCAGTGGACAGACCCCTGAGATCCCCCCCGCATGGTGGGCTGGGGAGGATACAAGAGGAAGTGTGCTGTGGGTGCCATGTCTCAAGTGCTGGGAGTTGGCTGGGGTTGCAGGGGCCTGGAGAAAAGATAAGGGTCTGTGGAGAAAGACAGCGAAAGGCTAGGGTGATGTCACCACCTAAGCTGCAACCTCAGGCCGAGCCAGAGGGCCTCGTTGGTGTTGCGTGGAGAGGCGGACGTCCCCCAGCAGGACTAGAAAGTGTACCAGAGCCAGAGAGCCAGGCTGGCTTCTCCACCTCACCAGGAGCCCGACCAGGGGATGGCTTGGAGCCTGGGGATCTGAGTGAAACTGCTTGAAAATTTTGAAATCTCAGATTCCCCTGAATCTTGGGGCCTGGAATGTAGTCATTTCCACCCCCGTGACGGCCAGCCCCCGGCCCTCACCGGAAGATGGTGCAGAGATCTCTGCCTTCAAAACCCTGCCAGCCTCCCGCAGGGCCGTGCCCACCTCCTCCCTGGACCACCCGGCTGGAGGCGTGCGTTCAGACCCCTTTCCACCTGCTCAGGACAGTCATGGGGCTACTCGGGCGAAAAGAGGCAATCCGTGACGGGCCTGCAGGACCAGCCTCTGGAGGCAGCAGAAGCTGAGCCTGAGTGAGGGGGGGAGTCTCCCAGGGGAGCCCTCGTTCAGGATGAGGGAGGAACCACACTGGCAAGAACCCCAGGAGGAGGTGAGGGAACAATCCACGCTGGGGCCATCGCAGCAGACGACGAAGGAGGAAGCCGCCAGGCGACTGTTTTCTGCAGCATCGCCTTAGGACATGCCGTCTGCTGCAGTGAAAAGAAGCGTGATGGCGAAGAGCCACCAGCGTCACTCAGAGGGACACCCGGAGGGCTGATGGGTGTCCTCTCGGGCCAGGGTTGGTGGCAAGAGGTGCTGTTACGTCTGCTCTCCAGGATAGTCATAACAAGGAGGCTAAGTACCATGATGAGCAAGAAGGTTGACACCGTAGCCAGGGACACATTTGGACATAGCTGATAAAACAAAGAACGCCCTGGGGACAGATGCGTGGGCCCAGAAAGGTGCTTCTCCATCCATCTGATCAGAAGAAATCGAGGGTGGATATGCACGAGGCAGAGGCAGCTGCCACATAAAAGTACCCATTCCCGCTCTATTTCCTGGACCACTTTTTAGACCCAGAATCCACTGAAGGATGGAACAGCCAAGTCCCCAGGAAAAAGGCTCCCCCGGTTCTTCCCCCAAAAAACTCAGCTATTTACGTGGTGAACTGCTCAGTGGAGAAACAGGTAGACACCGTGGAACCTGGGTCCACGTGGTCCTTGTTGACCAGGGACCCAAAGCATCATTATTACCTCCAGTTACTGTGAGAACACGTGGGTGAAAAGTAATGGCCCCATCATGACTCTGGTCTGATCCAGAGCCCATCCACTGGATCCAAGGCTCACTCAGCCCCCAAACGCATAATTGGGAGTTGGCAGAATTCTCATGTCGGCTCCTGGACCTGGGGGGGAGCAGCTGTACCATAATTGGGAAGCCTGTGAACCTGAGTCCCAACCTCATGCAAGAGGGTAAATCAGAAACCACTTTGCATCCTTGGGGAAAACACAGAGATTGGTGCTGCTCAAAGACTTCAAGGATGCAGGGGTGCTGACCCCATCATAGCCCCCATTTAACTCAACAGTTTAACCCCAACAGAAGCAAGACAGATACAGGAGGTGAACTGCCACAAACTCAGCCCAGCAGTAGCCTCAAGTGCAGCTTTGGGACTGATGTGGCGTCTTTTCTAGCACAGATTAACGCACCCTCCAGCTGAACGCATGCGGCCATCCATCTGGCACATTCTCATCTGCCCCTTCGGGAACGAGGAGCAGAAGAGATCTGTTTTGTGGCTCTGCCCCAGGGTAACCCTGACTCACCTATTCCCTGTCACAACACAGGACAAAGGGGTCTGGCCCATCCCACACTACATGACCTTGGCCCTCTAGGCTGACAACATTGTGTTTATCAGATGAGCAGGAAGGGGCACTGGAGGCCTTGGTAAAACACAGGTGCTCCAGATGCTCAGAGATTAACCCCCGGGGAAGACCGGCCTCAAGTCACTGAAATCTCCGGGGCCAGTCATCAAGGGCAGGAAAGGACCTCTCCTTGAAAAGAAAGGGAAAATGATCACATCTCATGCTCCCCCGTCATGAAGAATTTTGGACACAACGTATTCCACGTCTGGGAATATTGGTCCAGTCCATACACGGGATTTGCTTTGAGTGGGGTCCGGAGGGCAGAGGGCTCTGCAGGAGGTCCAGGTGGTGGTGCACACATCCTGCCTCCTGGGCCACAGTACCCGGCAGCCCTTTGTAGTAACGGAGGTGTCTGTGGTGGAGAAAGACGGACTGCAGAGTTTCTGCCAACCTTAGCTGAGAAAATGATAACAGAGACCCTAGCGTTCTAGAGAAAGGCCATACCCCCTAAAATAAATAGATGTTCTTTGGGAAAAGCTCCTGCTAGGCTACCAGGCCCTTTGACCACAGGACATCAAGTGACCAGAGCTGAAAAACATAACACGCAGCCCATCAACTCCATTAAGTTCGGAGCTTGGGAGGGCCCAGCAGAAGTCCAGGGCTCAAGGGTCAGAAAGCTGGTCAGCAGGTGACCCAGCTGCCGTCATCCACGACTCTGGCACCAGCTCACTCTCTTAGCTCACGCCTATGGCCGCGTGGGGTACCCTTCTGATGAAGTCAGAGAGGAGGACAATGGCCGAACTCGACACGAAATCAGGCCAGCTTGGTCTGGAGGTGCAAGCTGAAAATAAGCTCTGCTCCGGAGTGACCCCGAAAAGTTGCTGTGAAAGAAACCCCCCCCCTCCCCAGCGAGCTTCAGGCAGTGTGTGTGAGGTGGTCATCCAGTTTGTAAGGAGGACAGAGTGGCCCTAGGTAAGAATAAATGCTGACTCATGGACGGTGCAATTGGCTGGGCTGGTTGGTCAGGCGCCTGGAAGGAAAAGATTTTAAGACAGGGGAGGAAGTGGTCTGGAGAAGGCGCACATGGGTGGATTCAGGGAAGAGGGTCTCTGGTCCATCTGTTAATGCCCTCAGGGGAACCCCCGCCCCAGGAGGGCCTGAAACAACCAGGCAAGAGATAGAAGGGGTCTGCCAGCTGACATGGGCCAGCCTCCCGCATCAGTCAGGAGGGTGGGCTCTGTTCCCACCATATCCCTCGGTGTCCACGAAGGCCAGCAGGCCTCCAAGAGCCTCAGAACTACCTCTTAACATCCCCTGGTCTCCATGACGTTCCTCTACATTTCCAGAGCCGGGGCGAGGCAGCAGTGACCTTCACTTCTGGACAGGAGCCCCGGGGAGAGTCCTGGCAAGCTGGGCCTAACAGGCTGCACTCTCCCGCCCTCTGCTCATGCCCCTGCCCCGCCCCCAGGAGCCGAGAGCACCGGGACAGCATCGGGGGATGGCTGTGACAAGCTCCGCCACGTCCTTGGCACTGAGGGTCCATGCAGTCGGGAGTAGGGAACTCCATGGGGGGTCAAACCCCCAACTGCAGAGTGGGGTGGGGTCCTGCACCCCCACACCCCAACCAGCCCTTGTCCTCATCCCCCCACGCAGTTCCTGGGGGCTCCTGCTGTGTGTGCCCTCCAGGGGAGCTAGCTGAGAAGAGGGGAAGGCAGAGGCAGGGAGGGGAGGGGGAGGACCACACAGGTGAGAGGGTGAGCAAGCGAACGGGCCAATGGATTCACGAGTCACTGAGAGGCCAGCGAAGGAACTCGAATCTGAGTGAGGGCCGGGGTGAGGGCATGGGTCAGCGAGTGAGCGGGGGAGCGGAGGAGCCACCCCGCGTGTGGGGGGCGGCGGCCCACGCACCATGACATTCAGGCCCTGGGTGGTGGGCCCCTGGGCCACGATGTACTCGATGCCCGTCTCGTACACGTCCATGGGCCGCCGGTACTTGACCACGGTGCCGGCGATGTTGAAGTTCTTGGGGCTGTCCACCTTGAAGTTGCCGTTGAAGAAGAAGTAGCCGGCTTCATCTGCAAGAGCTGAAAGGGCACAGCTGCCCAGTCACATGTGCCGGGGAGGGGGGCGCACAGAGGGGGCTGAAGGGCTGGGAGGAGCGGAAGACCACGCTCAGACTCTCTGGTCAGCCTGGCCCTGTGACCCTCCCCAAACCCCCAGAGCCGGGAACCTCCACGTGGTGTGGGAGTGGCAGGCTCCGTCTGCCACAGCATGTGGCCCTGGCCGGGGAGACGTGAGTCCTCATTCTTAACCAGCCTAAAATAAACAAGGGCTTGTCTAGACGACCCGAGGATGGCTGGCCCGGGGCCCACTTGGTCCTGCCATTCTAGTGGCCTCAGAAGGGCCCGGGGCTGCAGGGCGATCAGGAGCATCAGGACCAAGCGGCCAGGTCTAGACACATGCTGGACCGCAGGTGTCACCCAGGTTGGGGCCAGCTCTGCTAGAGATCCCCCGTGAACTGGGGGGACTCGCCACTTTCAGCTTCCCACCCCGACGGGGCCCACGCAGAGCGACACAGCAGCCCTGTCCCAGCATCCCCCGCAGGCCCTACCAGACCACCCCAAGCTGACCAGCCTGGTGCTCTTGCTGGGAGCATGATGCTCTGCCAGGCTGGGGGACCTGGCTGCCCCTTCTCCCAGGCAGGGCTCCCAGTCAGCCTCTCTCTGAGGCAGGGTGTGGTGGACACTTGGAACCGAGGACCTCGGAAGGACGTCTGCTCCCGGAACTGGAACCGCACCCCCCCAACACCCCTGGCAACATGCTAGAACGTCTGCCCAGAGCCGGGCGGCTAGCCCTCCCCGGGAGCCTCAGGGCTGGTGTGGGTGGGGGCTCGACCTCGGGGACAGCGTCTCTTCCAGAGGGTGTCCTTAGAGCCTGTTCCAGGAACTGGCCTGAAGGCAGGGAAGAGCTTAGCGTCCAAAGCTCCTGATGCAACACGCGCAGCGGAGCCCGGCAGTTAATTTATTATCAGACACAGTGAGCAGCCTCCACCCACTGGACGAACACCCTCTGTGCAGCACCGTCAAAAATAACGAGGACGAGAGCATGGGCCAGGCAAGGGGACCCGCGGGGCCAGGCTTGCACACGGGGTTAAATCCCCGGCCCATGTCCAAAACCTGCTTCCTGACAGTAATGACCTTCCTTCCTGCGGCTTCCCCGGCACTCTGGGCCGCCCTCGGTATTTCCACGCGTCTGTTTCAAGAACGATGTCTTTGCAGCCAGCTCTGGGAACACGGTGTTTCCTGGCCTCAGCGCCCTCCCCGCAGGCCACAGAGCAACCGGCCTGGCAGAGTCCGGGCTCCCGCTTGGGTCCAGGGCTGGCGCCTAGAGCCTGAAGACCCGCTGGGTCAGCGGCTGGTGCTCGGGGGCCCAGGCACTGGGGCTGACAGCCTGTGCAGGGTTCAACCCCGGGGAACTTTAGCAAACACTCCACCCCCACACCAGCACCCCCCAGGAAGGGTGGCTGCACCCCGCCTGCCCTGGCCCCTGAGAAGATGCCTCGAGAGGTAGGGAGGTGAGTCAGGCTTTGGGGACAACCTGCCGACCTGGGTCCCTGGCCTGCCTGGCAGAGATCAGCTCCCAGTTGTCAATACCTGTCCTCCTTGGCCAGAAAGGGCTCCCCAGGTGTACAGACAATATGCATGGCCCCACCCACCTCCAGCCGCACAGGGAGCCCTTCCAGACATTGTCACCCAGGTGGGCCTCACTGCCTCAGCCACCACGCAACTTACTCCAGAATCCTCAAGTCAGAGACCCCAAATGCCTCCAGCTTCCCACCAGAATGGCCAGTGGCCAGAACATCAACTCTGGGCCCCAGATGGGTGCTTGCATCCCACCCCTGCTTCTTGTCACCCTTGGCTTCCAACTGGCCACCCACTTCCTCTTGCTCTGCCTAACTTCTCACCCCTGGACTCTCAGTCCTCAGACCCTGGGGCAGGACGGGGGTTCAGAGATGCCGCCTCCAGCACCTCCAGTTTTTTCCCGTGCCTGGCCCCTGGGGGTGGGGTGCTCACTACCTGAGTCACAGCCCCCTCTGGTGTCAAGCTGCCCTGAGTGCGAGGTCTTTCCACACCTGGGGATGGGGTCAGCTTCCCGACGAGCCCCCACTCCCACCGCGTGCATAGACACAGACACCCGGGCAGAGTTCTGGCTTCCAGGCCACCCCTCTTCGGCAAGGCCAAGTGCCCCCATCCACCCACAACCCACACATCTCACCCCGTGTAAATCCACAAGCCCTGCGAGCTGCCAGCCCACATACACACCCAGCACGTCCGCAGACTTCTTCCGCTCCACAATCTGGATGTCTCGGGCGCCAGCTGGGATGTGGGTCACCAGAGAGTAACCTGGGGGAGGGGACAGTGGTGAGCGTCAGGTCGGCCGCGACAGGTGCCTCTCGAGCGGAAAGGCAGCCCTGGATGGCGGTCACCACCCTCTTGCCCTCCTGGTGGGCGAGAGACAGTGTCTCAGGGCAGCCCCGTCCCCACCCGAGAGCTGCACCCAGGCCCCCAAGGGNCAGGTCGGCCGCGACAGGTGCCTCTCGAGCGGAAAGGCAGCCCTGGATGGCGGTCACCACCCTCTTGCCCTCCTGGTGGGCGAGAGACAGTGTCTCAGGGCAGCCCCGTCCCCACCCGAGAGCTGCACCCAGGCCCCCGAGGGGTGCGTGCACGGCATTGCGGGAGCAACCCGTGTGGCTGGAGAGCTGGCCGGCCGCCCTGGCATGGCCTGAGCAGTACCGGATTCCAAGACACTTTCCTATCGAGGCCGCAGGTACCGCTCCCGAGTATCTGCCCTGTTCCTCACGAGGGACGCCGCAGGCCGCGGGGGTCATGGATCAGCCGGGGTCAGACGTCCTCAGTCCTGCTCCACCGCTATCATCAAGGTGGCCCTGGCGAGCTGCCGGAGCCTCGGGCCTCCATGTTCTCATCCACACACGGGGGTGACGGTCCCCATGCTCAGTGGGGGAGGAGATTCTGGGTACTCAGAGCCTGGCCCTGAGGACGCCCTCACTATTGTTATTTTTAAAAACCCACACTGTCATAACATCGCATTGATTTTACAGATTTGCTACATTACAAATGTAGGTGAGGAGGTACGTGGCGCCAGCTCGGGGCCTGCCAGCAAAGGCCCCAGCAGGTGAGGAAGCAGCCACGGAGATTCCCTCAGAGCCCCCTAGAGAGGGACCAAGGGTCTTGGGGGCAGGGTCTGAGGAAGGCACAGTGCCGCCAGAAAGGGGTGGAGGGTTCGCTGGGGAGAAAGAGGGGAGATTTTTCAAGCCTTAAGAATGAAAAGCCTTTTAGGAGATGGTGAGAAGGTTCTGGAATCAGGTTTGCTGGGGCCGACCCTCAGGCCACCTAAGGAACATGTGGGCCCACCTGGCAGATGAGATGCTTCTACAGGCTGCTCCCCTTTGCAGGTACCTGAAGACACGGAGCCTGTCCTTCCAGCCAGAAGGGGGCCCCTAAACACTTCACCACCGGCGGTCTCGGTGGGAGGGCAGGTGCTGTGGCCTGCAGCCCTGGCCTGTTTCCGGGGTGCGAACACTGCCTGTCACAGTGGCCCAGGCTGCCAGCTGGTGTTGCTGGGCGCAGCGTTGGGAAAGGGACACAGTCATCTGCCTGCTGCCCTAGCTCTTCCAGCGGACAGACACAGTAACTCCAGGGGTAAGTGGTCAGGAAGTGAGGGCTGTGCTTGGTGGTGTTCAGTAACCCAGTCGTGTCCGACTCTTTGCGACCCCATGGACTGCAGCACGCTAGGCTTCCCTGTCCTTCACTGTCTCCCAGAGTTCACTCAAACTCATGTCCATTGAGTCAATGACACCATCCAACAATCTCATCCTCTGTTGTCCCCTTCTCCCCGACCCTCAATCTATCCCAGCATCAGGGTCTTTTTCCAATGGATTGGGTTTTTGCATCAGGAGGCCAATGTAATAGAGCTTCAGCTTCAGCATCAGTCCTTCCAATGAACACTTAGGGTTGATTTTCTTTAGGATTAACTGGTTGACTTTGCTTAAATATCACTTATTGCAATAAAGGTGTGTGTATTTCCTTCCAAGGAGCAAGCGTCTTTTAATTTCATGGTTGCAGTCACCATCTGCAGTGATTTTGGAGCCCAAAAAAATAAAGTCTGCCACTGTTTCCACTGTTTCTCCATCTATTTGCCATGAAGTGATGGGACTGGATGCCACGATCTTTGTTTATGTATACTTATTTTTAAATTAGCAGCCAGCTCACGAGATTCTTCACCGTGGTTACCATGCACGCACCAGGGGACCATGTGGGTCAGTGCTTAGGACCACAGACCCGGGAACAAGCTGTCTGGGTTCAGACTCAACTCTGCCTCTTTTGGCTATGTGACCTTGACCTAGTTTCTTAACCTCTCTGTTTCCACATCTGTAACACGACAATAGTGGTGGTCCCCGCCCAGAGGAGATGCCACGAGGTGGGAGCAAGTTAACCCTGCTGCACAGAAGGCATTTGGCAGCGATGGGTGGGACTGGTTCTGTGTCAGCCCCCAGGCCCCCAGGCTGAGAGCTCCGTGCAGGCATGGACCTACTGTACCCTGTAGCTCCTGGCACACAGGCGGTGCTCAGAAAGAGACGCACTGCCTGAACGCCGCCTCTGCCATGTCCACACCCCGGGACCTGGCAGAAGGTCCTGCATGCAGGTTTGTGCAAGGAACAGAGGAAGCACAAGATGTCTTTGCCCACGCTCCTTCCAAAGTGAGCCCTGCGAAGAAAGCGGCCTCTGCCCACTGTGGCTGTCAAGCGTTATTCAGAGCCCTGTCCAGCTGGGCCTCCGCTAAGACACCCCTCCTTTTCTTACTCTGACCCTCCTCAGTCGGCGTGTTCAGCCCTGGGTGCCACGTCCAAGCTCTAACACTAACTCTGAAATTATCCATCTGCTCCGCCTCCAGCAGAGGTGTGGTCCCAGCAGCCAGGTCCTCAGGGGCTCTCCAGGGGTTGGTTCCAGTCCAGATGTGCCTGGCCTCCGTGGGGGACTTCAAGCAGGCAGTTCCCACCCTGAACCTCAGTTTCCCCATCTGCTAAATGGGTTTCGGGCTGCCCTGCTTCTCCCAGTCCAGAGGCTGTGATAACCCAGTTTAATCCCACGGCATTAATAGAGGCCCACGAATGCCTCCAGTTTAGCCCCGAGTGTTATAAGCGACATCCCTCCAAAAGCAGCAAGTCCCAGCACATGCACAGACCCCCCTGTCGGCCCAGCCCCCAGAGCCGGATGCTCCTGTGAGGCCGCTGATAAGCCGCAGCCCCGGAAAGAGAGGGGCCAGCTCTGCACTGGGGCCGGTGGGACCCAGCACGTCCCTTCAGCCCTGGTGACTTGGGTCTGAGAGCTCAGGCCCCAGAATCCACGTGCCCAGGCCCCACCCTCAGGTCAGCAGCGAGGACCGAACACGTGCCTCAGTTTCCCCCTGTTACGAGCAGGGCTAGTACCTCCCTGTAGGCTGTGCTGAGTTGGAGGTGGTCTCCCAGCCCCATGCACACCGGGGCACCTGGGATCCAGGGATGGGCCATGCAGATCTGCTCTTAGTCCTGTGGCCAAGGGGGTCCTCCCAGAGCTGCTGGGCCAGCCCCGCCAGGCCTGGGTAGAGGATCGGGGGGGTGCCCCGGAGGGGAAGGACCCTGCACGGTCACTCAGAGGCCGGGGGCAGGCCGCCCCAGGCCCTGGACCTGGGCGCCAGGGCACTTACCCAGGTGGGCGTTGCCTTTGCGGTAGTTGCCCGTCACGTGGGTGCAGCTGCTCCCGTCGCCCTGGCAGACGCCGCACTTGTCCAGCGTGTGGGTGGAGAAGAGCACCCCGTCACAGCCGATGGGCTGCAGGAAGGGAGGCGGAGAGGCTGCTGGGAGGGCGCCGAGGCGAGACCCCGGGGCCGCCACCGCCTGGGGCGACAGGGTGGGCGGCGGGCGCGAGGGGACCGGTGGGCGCTTGTGCTACAGTGTTGAACAACCTCACATTTTCCAGACACGCAGACCCCTCGCAGGTCGGCGAGCTTGCAGGATGTGCCGTCGCGGGCGGGCACCATGAGCTGCCGCTGGCCGTCCACGGTGGTGCAGTGCAGGTCGCACGGCTTGCTGGAGATGTGCACGTAGTCGTCTGCAGGGAAACGGGCGTCTCAGGGCACTGCGGAGCCGGAGTCGGGGATGTCTCCCGCCCCTCCCCACCCCGACGGAGACAGCCCTCTGTCCGTGGCGCAGATGGGGACACTGACACCTGGAGAGTGGAAGGGACTTTGCCCAGGGCCTCAGCGGTAGAGACGGGGACTAAGATGCACGTGATCTGCCACAAATCGGCGCTCAGAGTCCAGCCTCTGCGGCCCTGTGAGTAGTGGGCAGCGTCCCCTCTGCAGGACATCTGAGCCAACTTGGTGGCCCCGGGCTGCCGGTCCTGGGGACCCTGCACCTCCTCCATGAGCAGGAGAAGCCAAGTCCTATGCACTGTTGCCTGAACTACTGGGGACCTTCGACAAGAAGCCCCCAGGCCTGTTTCCCCCCCTGCCCTCCCGCTGGACAAGGGCGCGCCCCCCCTGGTCCCCGGGGGTGGCCACAAGGGATGGATTCTTCCGGAGCGGGCCCCCGCTGGGTGGCCCCGGGCTGCGGTACCCGGGTAGAGTGGCTTCCACTGGTGCGTGCGCCCGTTGTACACGCGGGAGTTGAAGGAGATGCACTGCTCCTCACGGAAGCTCCTCCCGTCCGGCGGACACTCCTGGGAAGAAAGAGACAGGGAGGGAGGCTCCGGGAGGAACTCGGCCCGACAAAGGCATTTTTGTCCAGGCTGAGCAGGAAGTGGCTGCAGCCGGCACGGCCGTGCCAGGGCCGAGGCCCACGGGGTGGCCTCTCCTCCCTGCTCTCTGGAAGGAGGGCGGGGGCGCCAGGCCTCCAGACCCACGTGTGCTGGCCCTCCCACTGCGGCAGGCTGGGTCCCGTCGCCCCCCGCCACCTGGCCGTCTCCCCCGCTGCCCACGGAGACGCGGGGACACCGGCCTGGCCTGTGCTCACCCTGCCTCCTGGGGAAGGGGGCCCATCTGCATGTCTGCAACCACAGCCACGGGGCCTGGGATACGGGCGTTTACTGAATGGGCTTGACTTCATGGAAGAGGAGCCCAAGAGGGCCAGAAGCCCAACCAGCTGAGTGTCCCTCCCGAGCTCAAGTCTGGAGGGCAGCTGACCCATGAGGCCGACCCAGAACCCGGGCTGCTCACTCCCACCTGCCCCCGACCCCTCACACATGCACACAGACACAAGGACCTACAAGGTCATCTCTCTGCCCACCCCACCCCACCCCGGGGGTGCGGTTCAGACTGGCTCGGGCCCCATCATCGAGAAGCGCACGGAGGCCAAGCCAGAGTGATTGCCTCCGGCCAGCCCAGCCCAGCCACCTCGCTGCAGAGCGAGGTTAACAGACAAGGCTGGGAGGCTAAGTGTGTGGGCACGGAGCGGGCACGCGGGGGCTGCAGCCGGAACGGGGCCGCCTGTGACGTCAAGCCTCCTCGGGAGCACAGTTCACCCTGTGTGCAGGGGGACACAGGCGACCAGAGACCCCCAAACTCTGAGGTCACATGGCAGCTCTGCCAGCAGAAGGAGTCTCGCACTCAGGTGCCCGCAGCATGTGGCAGGCACCACGGCCCTGACCTGAGGCAGGGAGCGGGATTCTGTGCCTGGGGGCCCCCACCTCCACTTCTGTTCATTGGGATGCAAGGGGCGGACCCAGGACAGAGTGTCCGGAGGGCTGGGGCCACCGGGAAGCCGCCCGGAGTCCTGCGTGGGACGGGGTGGTTGGGGGTGGTCCGGCCAGGCAGGCCTCACCTGCACTCTGCATAGCTGGTACCTCTTGGACGTGCCCGTGCAGGTCCGGTTCCCGGCGCCCGTGACGGACGTCTTCCTGGAGGGAGGACCGGGCTGTGAGCTCAGGTCAGGGGTGGCCGGCTGCCGTCCTGACCCTGCTCCCAGCCCTCCTCTGGACGGCCCCCCAGCCCTGAGCCTCCACGAGCTCCTCTGACTGAGGCCGCCTCCCTCCCTACTCCATCCCTGCTGCCCCAGCAGAGCCCGCTCCTGTCTCAGGTACCCCCACAGTTTCAGGGGGCTTCTCAGCCTCCTCCTGGGGAGGGGTGAGGTCCCCTTCACCTCTCAGCACATGGTGCAGGGTCTCAGGCCACAGAATTAGTGATGGTAGAACAGCGTTCAGCCTGGGCCTGGGCCCTCTGCTGAAGTGCACGCACGCACACACACACACACACACACACACGGAATCGCGTGCTCAGAAACCTCAGGTGGGCTCAAGCATAATCTCCGCTCCACAAAGAGGAAACTGATACTCAGAGAGGTTAAGTGACTTTCCCAAGGTCACACAGCTAGGAAGCTGCAGAGGCAAGATGTGAACGCAGGTCTGGCCAGCAGTAACCAGTGCACTGTAGGCTTACCCCGTGTTTATTCAACTCGGGTCTTCAGGATAGAAGGTCAGGGAGGCCTGACCACTCCCTGAAAGAGCCCTAGGCAGGGTCCTCTTAGCCCAGTGCCCCAGAGCGGGATGAACTGCAGGACCATCCCGACAGAAGCCGCATCCCCACGCGGAGGCCAGTGAAAAGACTGAGCGGCTCGGCTGGCCTGTGCAGCCTCAATCTGAAGGCTGCGTTCAGCCTGAGCCACCCCCCGGCAGCTGCTGCCTGCCTCCTTGCCCGCCCCACGCCGTCCGGGCAGCCAGCCCCACGGGGCCCCGAGCTCACACCAGCACCTCTGCCGCAGGCAGTGCCGCTCCTGGGACGTCACCCCAGCCCCGCAGCTGCGGGAACATGCCGTCCACTTGGTCCACTCTCCCCACCAGTAGGCGGTGGCATCGGGGCCCACCTCCAGGCTGTTGGACGTCGGGCTGTTGTCCTGGGTGAGAGGCCCCACGACGGTTAAAAGGAGGCTGGAGCACCTGGCCAGACGGGCCTGCCGACCCCGTGCCCTGGACAGGAGGACACAGCCCCCTGGGTGGGTTGCTCAAAGCCCGGCTCAGACCTCCGGGGGGGATCTCTGAGGGACCTCCCAGGGAGCTGAGCGCCTCAGGTGCTACCTGATCTTGAGATCCGGAAACTTCTGGGGGCTAGGCAGGATCCTGACGCCAAAGCTAACCATCCTTTCTCGTTCCCAAGTAGCCTCGGGGGTGGTGGGGGCCCAGCCTGGGTTCTGCAGGACCCAAACCCGTCTGCATACACACTACACCCCAGGCCTTTGTGCTGAAGGGGAGCACCCAGTCCCCACAGCCCCCATCCTGCCAAACTGGCAAGGACGCCAGAGGGGCCAGAGCCCACCAGCCACCCACCCAGGGGCTGGCCTGACCGGCATGCAAGGCGTGCTCCTGGGAGTCGAGGGGGCCCTGGAGAGTGGGCGCTCCAGATGCCCCGGGCCCCTGTCCCGCATCTTGCCACGCGGCTCTCAGCATCACCCCACCTGGGTGAAGGCCTGTGCGCCCCACTCACCGTGGTCCCCGTGGACGACGTGCTCCCAGTCACTAGGGCCATAGCCAGCAGGGACCAGGCCCAGTGTGAAGGCTGCCATCTGCCCTCCATCCTAGGAAGCAAGGCCACAGTCACTGCCAGGCCAGACCCAGCTCCCCTCACAGCCAGCCAGACTCTGCTTTGGGGCCAAACCCCCTGGGGGCCCACCTAGTGAGGCCTGCGATTATCTGGGATCTGCTGGTAGTGGCTGTCTGCCAGCCCTGTTAGGTGGGCTCCATGAGTGATTAGAGATGCCTGCCATGGGCTTGAGACCCTATGGTGATGATGTGCGTGCTAAGCCCGTTCCACCGGATCTGAGGGCGTTTGGGGACATGGGCCAAGCTTTGCCTCGGAATACCTGAGCTCCTTGGAGAATGCCTGGGGAGAAACCCAGGGACACAGATAGGCCCAGGCTGCACCCCCTGGAGGAAGGAGCTAAGGATCAATCTATTACCTCGGCGCTGGACCTGGCCCAAGCAAGAGCACCCTGGGATTTTCGTCTGCTGGGCACCTGCTGACCGACAGGGGAGACCGAGTCTTCCCACCGGCCATATGGAGCTGCTGGAGCGGGTGTGGGTGAGCAGACTCTGCCAGGCACCCCCTGGATGCACCTGCTCCCTGCCTTGGAGGGACCTCAGGCTGTACAGAGCCCTCTGCCCCCTCCCTCCCAAGGGAAGACACGCAGCTTGCACCTCCGGGGCCTTGGTGTGAGGGTGGCCCAGGGCCACCCTGGGGCTGTCTCCTTCCCGAGAAGTCCAGCATCCCCAGCCCAAAACACGACTTGACCTCCCTGCTATGGTTTAGTCGCTTAGTCGTGTCTGACTCTTTGTGACCCCATGGATTGTAGCCCGCCAGGCTCCTCTGTCCGTGGGATTTTCCAGGCAAGAATCCTGGCGTGGGTTGGCATTTCCTTCCCCAGGGGATCTTCCCGGACCCAGGGATCGAGCCCGCATCTCCTGCTCTGGCGGGAGGATTCTTTACCTCTGAGGCACCAGGGAGGCCCAGACTTGTCCTCCCTGCCAAAGGTCAAATCAAGGGCTGCCTCCAGCCTCCCGGGCCCTCAGCCTCCCTTACCTGGCCCTGAGGTGGGAGGACCAGCAAGCCCTGCAGTGACCTCTGGCCAGGGTCTGTCTCGGGTCCTGAGCATCACTTACCAGCGAGTCGGAGGAGTTTCGGAAACCCCTAAGCCCATCCTCCTCTAGCCCGGGACCAGAGAGGGGAGCCAGTTTGCCCAAAGCCACACAGCCATGTATCTGGCCAACTAGCCCCCAGACCCCAGAGCAAACAGGGATTGGTTCCAGGGAAAGAAGGTAGAAAGCACCCGCCGCCCGCCGCCCGCCAGCCCTGAAAACAGCTCCTCATCTGCCCGCTCTCCTCCTGCCCCAAACCCTCACCTCCTCGTGGGCCCAAGCACCTGCAAGTTTCCAGGAGATACACCAGTGCCAGCCTCGCACCCCAAGAATGTCTCTCTGCCCCAGAAGGGGCAGCAGTCCACCCCGGAGTTTGGAGCTGAGACCTCGAGATCTGCAGCCCCCCAGCCGCCTGCCTGCCTGCCCGCCTGCCCGCCCTCCCGCCCACCCGCAGTCCGCAGTCCCATTGGCTTGTCTGTGGCCCCGGCTCCTGCCTGCAGGCTGAAGACAGGTGCTGAGCCGGCCGCACACTTGGTTTTCATTAAGGCTCCCAGACAGCCGTGGCTGCAGGCCAGGCCCGGCTCACGCGGGATCCAGCCCTCCCTGGGGTCCAAAAACAGCCACCACCGGCCAGCGGGAGAGGCTTGCCTGCAAGCGAGGGCTTTGGACTCGGTGAGGCTAGGAGCTGAGAGACCCCGCACCCCCCCGCCCCGGGCCAGGCTCAGAGGGTCTGGACCCCTCCCCAGGAGTCCCTGCTCCTGTTATATAACAGCTCCCCAAGGGGCCAGGGGCTGACCTGCAGGCACTGGGGGCCGCACCTCCGTCCTGGGCGGGCGGCTGTGGGAAGGGAAGCCAGACGGCGGGGAGGTGGCCTACCTGGCCGGGGCTCGGCAGGGTGTCCTCGCGGGGGAAGGGGCCGCGGCTGCGGGCAGGCGAGCCAGGTGCGCGGCGCAGGGGGAGGCTCGGACGCTGAGGGCCGTGGGCTGTGCCTCTCTCCCGTCTGCTCCCCCGCCCCTCGCCGCCTCCCTCCTCCACTTCAAAGCGCACCCACGAGAGGGGGTTCCCAGGGAAGCGCAGCCCAGCGGCGGCCGGGCGGGCGGGCGCGGCGGCCTTTATAGCTGTCAGGCAGACGGGGAGGAACTCACACTTCCCACCAGGCTGCTCCCCCGCCCGCCGCCCCGCCGGCCGGCCCGGCGCACACTTTAACCCGCTCCGCGCCTCTGGAGCACGGCCAGGCCGGCCCAGCTGCCTGCCGCCCGCCGCCGCCGCGAGCGGAGAGGCCGCCGGCCCGGGGCCACCACGCGGGACCGCGTGTCTGGGTGTCCAGACGGAGTGGCCGCTGGCCCGGGGTCACAGGGGAGCTCATGGGGAGGGTGGGGGAGCAGAACCGAGCCCCAGGCTTGGCCCATTGGATGCCTGCATCCTTCGGCGGGGTGGGGGGGGTGGTGGTGCCGTCTCTGCCCCTCCCCAGAATGGATCCTAGGTGTGTGAGACAGCCATCTAATGGCTGGCGCTTACAGATGGTGAGGCTGGGGTCGGGAGGGGAGACCCAGCTCTGAGGTCACCCAGCCAGGCTTGGAGACGTTTCTCCTGAGCAGCGGAGGGACTGACAGAGACCCAGCACAGGCCCCAGCCAAGGGTCCGGGGATGGGACAGGAGGGCCCGCGGCCCGCGAACCAGACAGCTCGCATGGCCGGAGCCAGCGGCGGGGGAGGAGCGCAGAGCTTTACAGATGTTCACACCAGCTTGGCAGGGCACACGGCCTGGCTGGGCGCACGCCAGCTGGGCAGCCCCTGGCAGGCCGGCGTGGGGCTCCAGCCTGCGTTCCTGCTGAGTCAGAGCGTGGAGCAGAGCACGGAGCCAGCAGCATGCACTCCGGCCGCACCGCCCCTCCCTCCCCGGCACCCAGGGGGGGCACCCCAGACACTGCAAGTCGCCCCGGAAGCAGGCCAGGCCCCCACCCCACACACCAGGCCCTCTGGAGCCCGGAACGCAGGGACACCTCCACACACGGTGGGGGTGGAAGGGGGGCAGCCCCGGGCCGCTCCAGCCATCCCCCTGCCTCTGCGCTGCAGATGGCTCACAGCGGCGCCTGGAGAGCCCTCCCCCTCCTGCGTCCTCCCTGCCGGAAGGAACTGTGGCGAGCTCCTCCAGGCCGAGAACCGTTCCACCCCTAGGGAAGCTCTGCCACCAGCAGGAGCGGCGGGGGGAGAGAGCCAGCGCCCTGCCCGCTGCCCCGCCACCGCCCGGTCCCTCCCGCAGTCCTTCCTGCGTGCCAAGAGCCAGGAACTCCCCGCTTTACAGGCGGAGAAACTGAGGCTCCCAGACTGCCCAGGGGCGCCCAGGGCTGCACGTCTGGTAAGCGGCACAGCCCAGCCCCCTGGTGAGCCCATCCCCGCCTCGGCAGGCTCTTGGACCCAGACTCTGGGAAGGCAAGTCTTATCCATCTCTGCTTTTCTTCCCCTGGGGCCCCAGGGATATTCGGCGGAACCCAAGCCCACGCTGCCCCCTGTTGGCACGCTGGATTGCAGACACGACCTGTCACACAGCACTGGTGAGCGCGCACACGCACACGTGTCAGACACGAGCACATGCACACACGTGTACTCTGCACTCACACGCGTGTGCGTGTGCTCGTGTGTGCATGCACATGTGTACATGCGTGCATGCACACACACATACGGGGCACACACTCACCGACCCCCTCACAGACACCCTGCTGATTACTCCCGCTCTCTGGGGCCTCTGCCTGCCCCACCCCACCCCTCCAGGCAAGCACCAGGGCTCTGAATCCCCAGTCAGAGTCCCCAGCTCTCCGGACATAGCTGGATCCGCATCCAGCCAGAGCCAGAGTGACTAATGGTTTCCCGTGGGAGGGACCCTACAGCCAGCCGGCGCAAACGCCCCAGCGCCTCCTCTTAGCTCAGTGGGACAGCGCCTGGGAGGCAGGCTGCCACCCCAGCTCTGGGACCTCCAGCAGGTGTGTGACCTGGGCTGGCCCCCCCATCCACCCCACCCCACCCTCTACCTCCAGGAGCTGGCCAGGGCTCCCCCTCCTGAAGGGACACCAGCCTTCCCCCAAACTCCAGGCCCACAGGGAGCTATGCACAGCTTGGTCCACTGGTGGTCTGGGGGAAGGCCCGGGGCCCTGAAGACCCCAGGAATCGCAGGCGGGTGGTTGGGGATAGAGTCAAGCACAGGCAGGAACCACAACGGAAGGCCCCGTCGCATGCCCAGCACAGAGCTGCCGTCGGTTCCGGAGAACCAGCGAGGCAGGGCCTCCTGGTCCTCAAGTGCCCTCTGGGCCCACTTCGTGGGGCTGCAGCCAGACCTGGACGGCAGATCCAGAGGATCTAAGTGTTGGCGACCAGAGCATCAGGCCAGGCTCAGAAGAGGTCCACACTCCGGGGTCCACTCTCTGCCATCACCGTTGCTGAAGGTTTAATCGCATCATCTTAGAATTTGTGTTCTGGGGTGACATCGCATGGGGTGATGGGGTGTCTGCTGGGGGACCCCCCCACCTCCTGTACCTCTCAGGTCTGCCTCGTGCCCCCTGGGGAACCAGGATCAGGCGAGCCTCTGGTGGAGTCGCAAGGGCTCACGCCACGACCCCCCCGGGACCAGCGGAGCACTAACATTAAGAGGGAGCGGCCCTGGAAGAAAGAGAAAGCTTTGATCTGTTGGTGAATGAGGGGCTTCTCGCTTTGCACTGAGCCCCAGCTCACCCCCAGGTCACACAGGGGCCCTTGGAATTGCTGTTTCCCAGCCCTGACAACGCCCAGGGCTCCCTGGGGTGTCACAGAAAGAAGTGGCATGGGGCCCCCATCTTGGTTCCTGCCATCCCCTCCCTGGAGCCCTTGTTCACACCCATCTGGATGTGCTTGGCCCTCCAGATGATCTCCTGAGCACACCTCCTCCAGGAAGCCCACCAGGCAGCAGTCCAGCACTTTGATCTGGCTTCCCGACCCATGGTTGGGACTCACCTGCCAGGCCCAACATATAGAACGTGCTCAGCGTGTGGAAGCGTGGATTTGTCTGGCAGCCCCTGTCCTTTGGGGAGAGGGGGAGGTGTCCCCACCACTCTCTGGACAGCCCTGGCTGCAGATGCTGTGGACACCTGTTTTTTTAGAGATTTTCTGCCAGACCTGGATTTCTGAAGAGCTTGGAAACAGGAAAACATGCACATTTCTGCAGGAAGGTGAGGTGAAGCGTGGGAAAGCAAGGCGAGAGGAGAGGCGCCTGCAGGGAAGGGGAGGGTCAGGGAGGGGGAGGGGCACAGTGGGCCGGGGCGACCAGCCTGGCAATCCTTGTGGGTGGACGGTCACGCTGGGAGCTGGGCCCTCTGAAGGTGAGGGGCCAGGGCCAGAGATCCTGCGAGGGGGTCCTCAACTCTGGCATCCAGAGGCCCACCAGCACGGCCCGGAGGGCCATGACCCCCACCCTCTCCCGCCACGTCCTGCTGCCCACCCAGAGCCTGGAGTGCTTCTTCCCAATGGGGACTGGGCCACCAGGGCCCCTGTGGCTAGATTGGAAGTGGGGGGCCGGGACCGGAAGAGGACCAAGCCCCAGCAGAGGCCCCAGCGGCTGATGCCACCCGCAGAGCTCCCCTCCCAGCCCCAGGCAGGCCCAGCTTTCTCTGCTATGGATCTTCCTCCCTCCGGGAGGACCCTCCTCCATGGCCCACTGGGGGTAGGTGATACACGTGTGTGTGTCTCTGTCGTGTCCGACTCATCACGACCCGTGGACTCTATCCCGCCAGGCTCCTCTGTCCATGGGGATTCTCCAGGCAAGAATACTGGAGTAAAAAAAAAAAAAAAAAAACTTTATTGCCATGAATTAAAAAAAAAGAATACTGGAGCTGGTTGCCATGCCCTCCTCCCAGGGATCTGCCCCCAGCCAGGGATCGAACCCAGGCCTCCCACCTTGCAGGCGAATTCTTTACCATCTGAGCCTCCAGGGAAGCCCCGGGAGTCAGCAGGCTGGACCACAAAACAGAGCTCTCCTCCTCCCTCCTTCCCAGCACTGGCGTTTTCCATTAGGCCCAGTCCTGACGTTCAAGTGGGGGACTTTATGTGTAGGCCTCCTCGCTCTTAAAACTCACAAGAAAGAGGCACCCTTGTCCCCAGATCTGGAGGAAGGATGGGGCCCCAGGGGGCCCTGGCATGACTGGGAAGTGAGCTCGCCGCCGCAGCTCCAGGGACAGCCCACCACCAGGCCCGGGGCCGGGCAGGACCTGCGTCCTTGGGCCTTTGGATTACACAGCCTGCCGGGTGTGCAGGAGGCCCCCAGGAAGGCGCGGTGCCCAGGAGCCCCATCCCGTCTCAGCCCCACTCCCTCCTCTGCACAGAGAGGCGGACCCAATGCGTGGCCACAGTGGGGGACGCGGGGCAGGGGACGACAAGCCTTTGTCCCTGTCCCAGCCCTGCTCCCAGCCCCCAGGTCCCCAGGCATGGATGCTGAGGCCCACATTTCAGAAGAGAGTCCCCCTGTAACGACCCACATTGGCTCTTCGCTGCTTCTCATTAACAGATACGCTTCCTGGGCCAGCCGCTCCCACAGCCCAGCGCACCTGCCCGTGATCACAGCGCCCCTGTGGGACAGCGACGGGCGTCCCTCGTGTCGGTGAGGAGACCGAGGCTCCAGGGCCAGAGGGCACAGCAAGGCCCCAGCGCGAGGAGGGCAGAGCCCTTGCCTGGCTCACCCGGCAGGTGTGGAGGAGCTGGGGGCCACGTGAGCTGCTCATGTCCGGCCGTTAGCTGAACTCAGCACGCCTGCTGTCACAGCGCCGGCTGTGGAGGTCCAGGCTGGTGCTCCAGCCTGGGGGCCCCAACGAAGGGGTAAGGAGCATCAGTGCCCAGACCCTTCCCACCAGGGACGGGGCAGGGGGATGCCTCAGGGGACCCCTGCACCCGGAGCCAAGGCCTGCTGTGCCCGTGGGTGGCCGGCGCTCCAGGCTGGGGGTTCAAAGCCTAGAGGATGTGAGGACAGCAGCTGGCCCTGCTCTGCAGAACCAGTCAGGCCGACAGGCAGCTGTCCGGGAGACGGGAGCCGTGTGGCATTCCGGGCATTTCAGCACCTCTATAAAACCCGAGGGGCGGGGAGGGTGGGTCGGCTCCCCTCCCCACTCCCCAGGCTGTGGTTGCCTGGTCAGGCGGACCCCACCCCACCCGGAACGGCCCCTGCTGGGTCTCACCAGGACCAGCACCACCTGCTGGGGACGGGGCATGCTGCCTGTGGTGGGGGTGGGGGGGCCTTGGCTAGGAGCAATGCCAGCCTCCCTGCCCCTCTGAGCCTCAGTCTTCTCCTCTGTAAAATGGGGAGAGAGAGAGACGTCGGCCACTGACACAGCCCAGAGGGCAAAGCAGGAAGGGAGCTTGGCACACGCCAGCGCTGAATGAATGTCTGTGTGTGAACGGTTTTCAAGATACACACGGTGGTGGGGCTGAAAATGTGAGAGCCCCCCGCCCCGTCGGCAGGGGTCAGGCAGGACGGAGAGCTACACTGTGAACTCAGAGGCTGCCCCCGGGGGCGGGCACCCTGGCGGGAGGGTCCAGGCCCGCTGCCCGTGAGGTCTGTGCTGACCCCGGCACCAGCAGGTGAGGGCAGGGTGGTGGGGGGCGTACTGGAGGCCAGCTGGCAGGCGGAGCCCTGGGTGGCGGGGAGGACGGGGTGCCAGCTCACATCTCTGCTGGCTCCGGACCTGCCCAGGTTGAGCTGGGCTCCCAGCCCGGCTCACTGCCCTGTGCCTCCAGGGGCAGTACCACCCCCGAGCAGCCAGCCTGATTCTTTTCCTCTGCCCCCCATCCCACCTCCCCAGGCCGATCACGTCCCTGGCACCAGTGAGAAAGGAAGGTTATTCCAGTCCTGTTCAGAGCAGGACGCCTTCCCCTGGGCCAGCTGGTCTGTCTCCAGGCAACCAGGTCTTGGAGGGGACCCCAACCTCCACTCTGCGCTCCGCCCCCCTCCTCAGAGGGGGTGGGGGTGGTCCTCCGCCCCAGCCCCTCGCCCCAGCCTGGCCACCTGTCTCTCTTCTTCAGGGCGAGCCCCTCCTCAGCCCCCTTCTCCTTAATCGCTACAACACATGTGCAATGCCCTGCCCCCCGGCCCCTCCCCCCTTCTCTTTTTCCCTTCCCCGAGCTCGCAGCCCTGGCCCTGGAGTTTACAACTGCAAACACACACACACACACACTCATGCACAAAACCAACTGTGGAATGTTTTCCCGCTTCCGAGTGAGGGGTTGTGGCTCCAGAGAGCTTTCTCCTAGCACCTGACATCTAACCCATGTCCTTACCGCGCGATTTCTGCTCCTCCTGGAGGCCGGAGCTGGGGGCAGAGGTGGTGACCAGCTCGCCAGGAGTCGCCTGCCTCTTACCCAGAGCTGCACGCACGCACGCACGCACGGCAGGACCTGGTTTTCCCATTTGGAGTGGCACGGGGCTCCTAAGTGCCAGACTGAAGCACACTGCCGCCTGCCTCTCCCCACTTTGATTCATTCTTTTCACAGTCATTCATCCAGCCAGTGTCTGCTGACCACCCACCACGTGCCAGGCTCCGCCCGGGGCTTGGGTGGGAAGCCGGCCAACCGAGCCCCGGGCACGCGACCCGAGCTGCTCCGCACAGAGGCACGGATGCTTGGATGGGAGAGAGCAGCGTGTCGGGCCCAGGGCAGAGCACCTCGGCTTACCTGTGCCGGGTGGGAAGCCTTCCCCACAGACTCAGAGGTGGAGGACGTGTGCTCTTTCCGGGGAGGCAGGGAGGCCAGGAGGAGGTTCTGGGCATACAAGGGCGGCTGGGGGTGTTGAGGGGAGACGGCTAGGCAGGGATGGCCCCGGGGTCTCCTGGAGACCTTGGACTTCATGCTGAGAGTGTGGGTGCCTAGGAAGAAGGCACTTGAGCAGAAAAAGATGTGACCACATGTCCCAAGTAGGACTTTTCACTGCAGGCAGCAGGAACGGGCTCCAGCCAGCGTACAACAAAGCAGAGACTTTTCTGGAAAGGTGCGAGGCAGCTCCCAGGTGGAAGGAAGGGAGGATCCAGTGCACCCCGAAGGCCAGGAACAAGCCGGCAGCCTCTCCTTGAGGCGCCAACTGGCGAGCGTGGGCACCCCTCAGCCTCGCCCCCGCCTGCTTTTCCCATTCTCCAAATTCCAATTCCCAGGAGAGCAGAATCCGGAGCAGCCACCCAGTGACCACAGGAGGAAGCCAGGTGACACACATGGGTGACTCCCGGGGCATTTCCGGGGCCGTGAAGGAATGCACCGGCGCGCGTCCGTTCAGGCAGGCCGGGACAGGCGTCCACAGAGGCCAGAACCGAGGCTGCCTCTGCCGGGGACTCAGAGGACCGCACTGGAGTGAAGGGGCGCGGGAGCCGTCACACGGCACTTGGCAAGTCCCACCAGACCGCACGTTATGAATCTGTGCATTTTCCTGCAGGTGACATCCTTACACCATGATGAAGCACAAAACGTTTAACAAAAGCTGTCCTTTTGCTGACAACAAATAAATCAATCCAGCAGTCCTTCCTGGGAGAGAGTCAGCCTGGGTAACTCACACAGAGTTACCCAGAGGTAATTTGGCCAGAGGATGGGGGCCCTCTGCCAGGCAGTTCCCCCCAGACCTCTTCAAAAAGCGAAGATTATCTCCGGAAGGCATAGGAACGCTGAGAGGGCTGGCGTCAGCCTTGCCTCCGTGACCCTGATAGAAAGTTCCTGGTCTGTGCATTTCAGGCTTGAATCAATGTAACCAAGCAGAAAGGAACAGTTTCATTCACTTAGTTACCAAGGAAACCTGTCTGGGTGAGAACAGGTGAGTTAGATGTGGATGCAGGCTGGTAAAACGTGAGACTTATCTACAAGGTCCTTGCGGTGATTGGTGGTGTGGTTTGGCCACTAAGCTATGTCCAGCTCTTGCAATCCCGTGGACTGTAGCCCGCCAGGTTCCTCTATCCGTGGGATTTCCCAGGCAGGAGTACTGGAGTCGGCTGCCATTTCCTTCTCCAGGGGAACCGGCTAACCCTTGGGTTCTCCCACCTCTTGCCCCACCTGTGGACACGTGACTCAAGCAACAGCGTCTGTTTTTTCTCATTCTGTGCTCCCCAGTGCCCCAGGGAGGGGCCAGGATGGAAAGTGGCTGGATGTCGGGGACTGTGTTCACAGGGGACTTTTCTCCAGTGCTGCTGCCTCCGAGAAGTATGGTCTCCCTGAATCAACAAGTCTGACCGATCCCAAAAAAAAATCAGAGACAAGTGCTGATCACATGGTCCGTCAGCTGTTGGACCCTCCCCGTGAGCTTCTCGACATGTGCGCTCACATCCCTGCCTCCTTCAGGGCATTTAAACCGCAGCTGCCACCGGGGGCCCCCACTGGAAGGAGCAGACCCTGTCCCTCTCTTCTCCCTGCCCTGGGGACCCTGGCGGCCTGCACCCCGCCTCTCCTCCCCAGCCCATGGGGACGCTCATGGCCAAACTGCTCCTGCCCACAATCAGCAGCCTGGCCTTCCTCCCCACGGTCAGCATCGCCGCCAAGAGGCGGTTCCACATGGAGGCCATGGTCTACCTCTTCACCACGTTCTTTCTGGTGGTAAGTCTGGGGGTCTGGGGAGAGGACCCCCCCCACCCCGCCCAGAGCACCCTCCCAGGGACAGAGGATGGGGGCTGCCTTTTCACCACTTTCCCATGTTGGGTGATGAAGAGAAGTGATGGGGGGCTGGTGAAAGAGCCCAGGAGAGAGGGCTGGGGGATGCCTTCGCCTCCTTGGACCCGTTTTCCCGTCTGGGGTTGGTGTGAGTGAGACCAAGCCCACAGGGGCCAGGGACAGTAGGCCCAGGCCTGGCCCCCGGAGGTTCCCCTTCTCTTGTCACTGGCCAACCGCCCCCTTCCAGGCGGCTCCTGGCTCCAGCTCCCTACCCCACCCCCTGGTACCCCGGGCCCCGCAGAGGGGCTAGCAGGGCCCCGGGAGCGTGAGGAGCCAAGGAATCTGCCTCCAGGATGCTGCAGCTGGCCTCGGCTCGGGACGGCCTGCTCACGTACGCGGTCTCTCCTTCGTGGGGCCTGCGCGTCTCCCTGGGTCCTTCCCGCTCTATTTATACTTCTGGCTGGCTCTCAGCTCCCCTCCCTGCCCCCGCCACCCCTCGCCGGGGGTCCGTCTCCCTCTGTGCTTCTCTTCCTGACTCCCTCTGGGGCTGCCTTCTCTTGTTTCTCGGTCTGTGTCTGGTTCCCTCTTAATTTCTGGAGCTGTACGCCCGTGGAATTGACTCTCTGAATGTCTGGGTCTCTCCCTCCCTGGCTTGCTCCCCCTCAGCCTCCATGCATCCCTCTAGCTTCTGTCGAGCTGTCTGTCCACCTCCCTACCTATGTACCCTCTCTGTGATCAGTCATCTTTACATGTATGTAACCAGCCACCTCTCTACCTGCCTGACCGTCCATCCATCATCTGTCTACGTCTTAGTGCCCTCCTGCCTCCACCCTCCCCAGTGGACCCCCGAGTGGCCCCGCTGTGTTTCCCCACCATACTCCATCAGTCCCAGCCTTGACTGAAGCCCAGCTCCCTGGGGCGGCATTCTCGGGGGGAGGTGAGTGACCTGAGCTCCATGGAAGAGATGGCCTGCCCCCTGCCCCGGGCAGCTAGCTTCCCCAGCAGCAGACTGGCCCCGCTCGCTCACGGCATCTTGTCGACAGCCACTTCCCTCCCCTCCGACCCCCACTCAGGACCCCGGTTTGGGTGAGGGCCAGGAGGTCTGCCCAGCAGGTGGGAGACTGGGGCCAGGCAGGCAGGGGGCTTCCCTGCGGGGACGAGGGCCTGCGGCCGAGGAGAAGAGCCAAGGTCTCATCCTCAAGACCCCACGGGAGACCCAGCCGGGGAAACCACGGTCACCTCCGGGGCCCCCCCTCCCTGCCGGGGTGAGCTGGCCCCGCAGCTGCCTCCCCGGCAGCCTCAGAGGCCCGCCCTGCCCGCCAGCCCCACCCCCCTAGAGGGACAGGGCCAGCTGCCTCTGGTGACAAATGTCCTCTGACCACAAAGACTCGCTCAGCCCCACTCCCAGGAGCCCGCAGGCACCATCGCTCCCCTTTGAGTTTTCTGCTGATGTACAGCCGACACCATCCCCGCTTCTGCCTCCCACGTGGCGTCTTCTGCGTCCCGACCAGAAGGCGTCACAGCGGCTGGACACGGTGCTGTGTGCTCAGTCACGCGGAACTCCCCGGCCCACGCCACCCATGGAGCAGGGGCTCTGATCTCTAGTTGACAGAAGCCCCCACCCTGGCCCCAGGGGCCGTCAGCCGCCCCTCCGAGCTCACAGCCAGGACCCGCCAGGTCAGCCTCCAGAGGCCATGCATTTCCTGCCAGGCTCCCAGCCGCACGCCCCACCCCCACCCCGCCAGTGCTACACGGAGCCAGGTCCTGGCAGACGCAGAGGCCGAGTGCCCCCTGCCGCGTCCCCCTGCTCCTTGGCACCTGGTGCCTCCCCGAAGGTCGCCCGCCGCACCTGTCCCCCAGCAGCGAACCAAGGGCCTGGGCGTCAGGGCCCTTCCTGAGCCAGCGATCCTCCAAACCGCTCCAAAACCCGCCTCCCTGACCCCACGTTCACAGGCAAGCCGCTGGCCGAGGGCAAGCCAGCTCTGCTGCGAGCTGGGGTCACGGCTGGGACAAGGCAGACGGGGGGAGGGCACAGACAGCATCCAGAATTTCACAGCGATGAGGTCTTCCGGCCTACACAGCGATCTGTGCTATTGTGGATGTACTGAATACATAAGAGACGGTGGACCAGGGGACTTGGGTGGGGCTGGGGGAGAAGGGGACCCGAGTCACTCATAGAGTCCGGTCCTGCCTGCCAGAGCCGTGCGGGGGAGCAAGTGTTCTTCCTCTATCCTGGAGGGGTGAGCACCTTGATCAGGCCCCACCTGAAGCTTCTTCTCTTTCCTGCACCAAACAGTCACATCCACCACCTGGTTCCTCCCCTTCAACCTTTTCTTTCCCTGTGTCTCTTCAAAGCGTGTGGCATCCAAAGCCCAGCACAGTCCTCTAAGCAGGTCTGACCGGACAGGAAGGAGCAGCACTCTCTCCTCCCCCGCTCTGGACACTATATCTCTGTTAATGCCGCCTCGGTGCCCCGCAGCTTTAGGTCACATAAAGCTGCAACCAGTGGAAGCTCTAAGCTGACCTCACCTGGGCTCCCCCCGACCCCACCCCACCCCCACGGCAGCGCCCCTGGCGTCTCCAGACGTAGACTGCTCTCCCGCACGCCTCTCCATCCTGCTGAGCCGCGTTAACCAAGAGCCCATTGTGCTGGTCCCCAAGCCTGTTTATGCCCTTGAGCTTGTCAAAATAATTACATCATGTAATTAAATATTGCTGAAAATGATGAAATGTATACGCCAAAGGAGAGAGTTGTCCAGAAATAAGTGGACAGCTTTGAGAATACTGGCACTTTGCTTTCAAGTTGCTTTCCAAGTCAGCGTTGAGAGACGGCCGTAGGGGTCGGGGCGGGGGCTGAGACGAGGATGCGAGTTCAGCACCTGCACAAGGGTGGGTGGGGGGTGGGGGGGTGCCTCTGCCATCTGCCCTCACTTCGGACAGAACTTGAGAGCTGCCAGCCGGCGGTCCTCAAAATGGGTTCCCTTCTGGCAGCACCCTGAGACCGGCCCGGGAGCCTCTTAGGAAAGCAGCTCTCCAGCCTCCACTCCGACCTGCTGCCAGGGCGTCTCGCAGGCCGGCTCCGCGCCTGCATCTTCGCCAGCCCCCAGGGCTCCAGAGCCTCGGGGGTCAGAGAGGTCACTTGTGGGAGAGGAGGCCCCCCAACTCTGGCCAGGGCAGAGCAGACTGGTGCCCCAGGGAAACGGCTCTGGCCTTAGCTGAGCAGATGCTGAGGGAACGTGTGGATCACGTGGGAGGGTCCCCACCTCAGTGGGGCTTTGGGGGACCCTATGGGAGAGTGGTTCACAGAGAATGGGGAGACGGAGGCCGGGGCCGTCCAGTGGCCTGCCCGAGGCGCCGGCTCGCAGGGCCTGGGGCCCCGGCACGCTTGCCTCCACGCTGAGCCTCCGTCTGTGTCTCCCGCAGCTCCACCACGCCTGCACCGGGCCCGGGCTGTCAGTCTTCTGTTTCCTGCGTCACGACGTCCTGGAGTACTTCAGCATCTACGGGACGGCACTCAGCATGTGGGTCTCACTGATGGGTGAGTGGCCGCCCCCCGTGGCCCCCGGCCCTGCACGTGGGGTCAGGACGCCCCACTGCCCGCAGCCCACCCGGGCCGGCCCGCTGACGGCCCAGCCCTCCGCTCACCTGTGAGAAAGCACGTGCAGGGCACCAATGCCTCAACTCCCTTTTTTGTAAACTGTGCATCCAGAAGAGGCCCCTCTCTCTCCCCCGCAGCGCTGGCCGACTTCGATGAGCCCAAGCGGTCGACTCTCGTGATGTTCGGTGTCCTGACCATCGCCGTGCGGATCTACCATGACCGCTGGGGCTACGGCGTCTACTCCGGCCCCATCGGCTCAGCCATCCTCATCATCGCGGCCAAGTGGGTACGTTCCATGAGAGCCTCAGCACTTGGGCCGCCGCCCCTGGTGGAGACCCCTCCCCACTGGGGTCCCAACCCACTTCCCGTCTCATGGGTCGGCAGGCTGGACACAGGGCCTCAGCTAACACACAGAAAGTGGCCGTCCGCTGCGCCCGCCTTGCAGACCCAGTTTGTATTATGTCTGGACTCACCAGCTCTGGATCTGGCCCAAGTTACTTAACCTCTCTGCCTCATTTTCCATATCTGTAAAATGGGCATTACAGTTCAGTACTTACCTTATAGGGGTTGGTTCAAAGATTAACTGAGATAATGCACCTCAAGGACTGGCACAGAACCTGGCTTTTAATATGCTCAACAAATAGGAGCTGCTATTATAGTCATTGTTGTTATTATTATTATTATTACTGAAGAGAATGGCCAGTTTAGAGATGCAGTGTCAAGTGGAAGTGGCCTGGGTTAATCTGGGAAGACTTCCTGGAGGGGGTGAGCCTTGAGCCTGGTTCAGATGAAGAAGAAGGTTGCAGTGTGAGGTCGACAGAAAGACAGAATCACTCGTGAGCATGCAAGCGGCCTGACCCAGAGTTTCCAACACCAATGGCCCTTCGCTGGGCATGCAGGGATCGAATCACTCGTGAGCATGCAAGCGGCCTGACCCAGAGTTTCCAACACCAGTGGCCCTTCGCTGGGCACGCAGGGATCTAGCACTCACAAGGCCTTTTACATATGGTCCCAGGCTTCCCCCATCCCAAGGCCCTCCTGGCGAGGACTGAAACCCACTCAAATTAGTCCAAGTGAAAGATGGATGCTGGGCAGAGTAGACCCAGGGCACTTCTGGGCCCCCAGGGCAGGGTTAAGGAACTGCTCCTTGAGGGGACCAGAACGTAGGCCTGGGAAAGAGGTGGGGCGGGGCAGGAGGTGAGAAGCTTCCCACCGACCCACTGTGCAGTCTGGGGAGGGAAAATGAAGTCCTGGGGGTGAGCTTTCCAAAGCTGCCCTCCTCTCTGTGCCAGAGAGCAGAGGATTTAGTTTGCCATTTGGGTAGTGAAGAAAGCAAGGCTGGGAGGTCAGCGACTTAACAAGAAGTCACGGCAGGACAAGCGAGGCCGGGCTGTGACTCCTCACATCTTGGGGAAGCCAAGCTGGCCCCGCGCTGACCCAGGAGGCCCTCGGAGAGGCGGGGGGAGGAAGCGCGCTGGGGTCTGACTTGTCTGGACCCGAGGAAGGGCCGCGTTAATTAACATTCTGGAATGCGTAAACACAGAGCTCCCCTCACTGATAGTTCACTCCCTCCCTGGCAGGAAGTGGGATAAAGGCTCCTTGTTCCACCCTGAAGGGTTGTCCCTCCGCAGAATCTTGACCCGTCTGGCTTTGGGCTGGATTCTAATTAGCCAGGAGAGCGGTCCCTTGCCAGTGTCCCCGTGAAGCCCCACGGGAACCCAGGGCTGCCTGCCTCCCTCCATCTGGGGCTCAAATTGTGTTTTCTAGACCATTGAATGTGGAGTTTATTTTGGCTTTTTCCAGGGCAGTTGTTTCCTGGAATGAGGGTGCATTTTTCTCCCGGAGGCTCGTCCCTTCTTGAGCAACGGTCAGGGAGAGGAAGTGCAGAGAGGGGGTGATCAGGGCTGGGGGAGAGGCCAGGCCAGGCGCCCCCTGGGGCAGGGGCCTAGAGTCCAAAGGTGCTGGACGAGCTGAAGGCGGCCTCCCGGGTCCCCGGGCCCCTGTGCCCAGAGTCACACTGTCCAGCTGTGCCCACACACCACCCGCGACTTTGCAGGTCCTGAGTCCTCACCGGTGGTGGAAAAGTCCAGAAAACTGAACACCGGATATCTGTGCGAAATTTATTTAGTGGCAAAAGCGGGCCTGACCCAGCAGGAAGCTACTGACAGTCTCTCTGTGAGCCTCTGCAGGGGGAGTGCACACGGGGTCCACCACCCAGAGCGTGTGTGACGGCAGGTTCCCTTGCTGGAATCCGAAACACCCTGCCATCTGTACCACTTGCGGTTTGGGTTCTCGGGACGCGGACCTGCATTGTCTTCATCTGTTTAGCAAACGTGAACCCGTGTTTCTAATTCCCACTTGAGTCTCACTCTAGGCAGCCCAGCTGAGGCACGGCCCTCTCACATGCCGGGCAGGTTTGTCTAAGAAATGCTACGATGAGTCGGTCCACTCTGAAAGTGGCTAGAGGTCTCGCGGTGTCGGCCACACGCATCCCATACCCTCCTGTGGTCACTCTGGAGGGCTGGTCCCACACCGCCAATACCCCTTGGCTGGGGAATACCGCGTGACTGGTCCCCTGGGGCTCCCATCTGGCTGGAAACTTGCAAGGTGCAAGTTTCTGCCTCCAAGAGGCAGATGGGGCAGGGGGTCCTTGTGGGGTCAAGAGGCCGAGGGCAGCCCCAGTCGGCCCAACCCAAGGGGGGCCTCCCGCGCGTCCTGCAGCCGTGGAGCCCGATGCGCCTGGGCCCCTCCCCGAGCCCTGCCCCCCTCCCCCCGAGGGTGCCCGGGCGCACGTACCATGGCTGGGGCCTCAGACCCTCCCTCTGGCCCCCGTCCCCACAGCTGCAGCAGATGAAGGAGACACGGCGCCTGTTTCCTGACAAGAGCGTGTACACCCAGCAGATCGGCCCCGGCCTCTGCTTCGGGGCCCTGGCTCTCATGTTGCGCTTCTTCTTCGAGGTACCCTGGGAAGGGGCGGGGAAGGAGCCCCCCACAAAGGCCCTGGTCAGCCCCGGCCTGCTTGGCCTGAGGCTGGATGGGGCCGCACCCCTCCAGGAAGCTCCAGCAGCACCCCACTCCTGCTGACACCAGCACCCCCGTTCAGTCACGGCCTAGTCCTTCCCCGGCACCACCAGCATCTCCAGGGGTTGGAGGGGTGGTACAGAGAGCTTGCCTTTGGTGGGCGCACAGCCCTGAAGGGGCCGGGACAGGAGCCACTCCTAGGGGGAGGGGAGGGGGGGAGACATGGGGCTGGAGGGAGGAGCCCCACCCCACCCCACCCCACCGGCAAAGCCCCAGTGAATCAGCACAGACCTTCGGTGGTCTAGGCGTGGAGGGCAAGACCAGCGTGGGCTGGACAGTGTCAGGAAGCCTCTTGGAGGGGACACTTGGCCAGACTCCCAAGGACGAGCTGGGCGGTTGGGGAGGGGCCCGTTGACCCCGGCAGGTGCCCAGTCTCACCAGGCCCAAAGCCGAGGGCCCAGGGCGGGCGGGGACAGGTGGAGGAAGACAGGCCTCGAGGCGGGCCTGAGGCCACAGACTGGTCCGGTTCCGCCCCCCCAGGACTGGGACTACACCTACGTCCACAGCTTCTACCACTGTGCCCTGGCCATGTCCTTCACCCTGCTGCTGCCCAAGGTCAACAAGAAGGCCGGGAGCGCAGGGCCCCCCGCCAAGCTGGACTGCTCCACCCTCTGCTGTGCCTGCATCTGAACGCGCATCCTGGCTCCGAGCCCTGCTCTGCCCTGTCCTGCCTGACCCGCAGCAACATCCCTCCTCGGAGCCTGAGGCCTCTCCAGGGCTTCGGGAAGCACAGGCCAGGCGCTTCTTGAGAATCCACTTCTTAGGTTTGTACTGGGTGCTAAGCACCATGCTGGGAAGAAAAGAACTTTCTCCCTTCTCCTAAGCCAAGGTCCTGGCAGATGGGAGTGTCTGCAGAGCCCTGGGGCCAGCGTCTGCCCACCCCTGCCCCTTCTCTCTTCACCCAGTCCCAGCCACAAGGGGCCCTGCCCACCGTCCCCGATCGTGTGCCCCCCACCTCACCCGCCACCTGTTTTCTCTTGGCAACTGGTCTGCCCACTCCTGACCTGTGCCCTCAGGCTCAGCGCACCAGGGCCAGCCAGGCCGCTCTGTCCCTGGCCCAGGCCTGCCTGTCCCTTGCTGCCCTTCCCGCCAGGCCCCTGAATCAAGCCATCTGCACGTCCTGTCCACCCTCCTCATTTCATCCAGTCCTCGAAGCAAGTCTGAGTAGATGGCAAGTTCAAGGCCCAGAAGTATCCTACTTTGATGGCAAGAGAAGGTTGGAAAGTGATGTAGGGTTAAGATTATAGTACGAAAGTCACTCAGTCATGTCTGACTCCGCGACCCCATGGACTGTAGCCTGCCAGGCTCCTCTGTCCATGGGATTCTTCAGGCCCCAACCTCGAGACAGCAGGGCTGACCTCAGCCCACTGTCCCTGGGGCCTGGCACCACTCCGGGCATCTCACTCTGGAGCGCCTTCCGGGCCTTCGAGATCCCACCCAGGGTGGGCCCAGGTCCGGAACCCCAAGCGAGGCCGCCGGGCCCCCAGGCTGGCCCCACGGGGCAGGGCTTGCCGCCATGTGCAGAGGTCAGCCTGCTCCCGTCCAGGGCCCGCCGGCACCGCCCGGTCGTGGGGGCGGGAGCCGGCCGCCCAGACATCACCTCACAAAGCCGAGGCTCCCAGCTTCCCGAATGGTCCGGGCACATTCATCGGCAGGAAGTTACCTACACCTGTCTGGGGCCTGCTTGTGTTTCCAGACATGCAGCTGCCCACGTCCGTGCCCATCACGTGGGGCGGCCCCTGGTGTGTCCTGAAGTCACCCCGGCCACGCTTCAGGGAGACAGCTGGCAACAAGGGCGGGGGATCGGGCGGCCCCTGCAGCCTGGCCCCCGAGTGTCTGTGGGCCCCCTTGACTGGCCCCGGGGTCCCGCATCCTGCGGGCCTGGACACTCGCAGCCGGGCCTTGGCCCCACCCCCTGCTGTCTCCACAGTCCGCTAGTGGCAGAGCGGCCCCTCATGCTCAGGGTCCTCGCCAAGCCTCATGGGGCGAGAGCTCGCTCATCACAGCTCCTGGGCCATGACCCGGACGCGTGCCCACGGGAGGGCACAGAACACGGTGGGGCCCCGGCCCAGGGGCGGGCACGTGACGTCTTGATCGGCTTCGGGCCTTGCTGTGGGGGTGTGAGCACACGCGTCCACACACAGAAATGCACGCACACCTGCGGAGACCTCAGGTCTGCCCCTCTGGCCTCCCAGTTCCACAGGGGGAGACTCACGGCTCAGCACCAGCTGGTAAGGCAGAGGACAGACTCTGCGGGCCGCGCGGGTGGAGGGGAGCCAGGTGGCATCACTCCATAAATCTGCAAGGTGGCCGGCCCCTGCCCACCACCTCCCGCCATCCCCCGACCATCCCCCCAACCCATCACCTCCCTCCCAGCGCCCCCAGGCCCTCCCAGCAAGCACGCCCCAGCTCCCAGCCCCACGGCAGTGCAGTGCGTGGAAAGTTGGAGGCCGCAGCCTGCTCCCGAGCAGGGAGGAGGCGGAGGCCTGCCAGGCGCATCGGGGCTGCACCCACAGGCTGCTCACTGCGGCTGCCCTGATTCATGAGGCTGTCTGGGAGCCTGGCCAAGTCTGTAAGTCACGGACAATTAGGAGGCGCGCTCCAGGCCTCAGCCCCGTCTGCCTCTCGGGCTCCAGGCCTGACTGCGCCCCTCCCGAGCACCGCTGGCCCCCGCAGAGACCCCCTCGGAAGGTCCCAGGGGCAGGTCTTGAGCCCACTTTGCAGATGAGGACCCTGACGGCTGGGGAGGCAGCAGCTGGCCCTCATCTCTTGGGCACAGATCACTGAGTTGGTGGTGGTGCCCAGGGTCTTGCCAGACATCCCAGAGGCATCTTCCTCTGGCTTGAAGGACTACTTAGGCATCTTGTGGGGTGGAGGGGTCTACCCAAGGGACAGAGGGGAGTGCCCAGGAAGGGGAAGAGAGGCAGCCCCCCCAACACCCCAAGACTAACAAGGACGAAGTGTGATGGCCTTCACTCCAACACCTCCGGTCTCAGTGTGAGGGAGTCCTGGGGTCTTCAGGTCCCTGGAATCTGAGACTCAGGTCCCTGGTGCAGGAAGCGTCCCCTCCCCAGGCCATCCCGGGCCACCTTGGGCTCCAGACAGGACTGCCCCTCCCACCCAGCCCCGAGGCAGGGAGGACTGGGGTCCCCGAGTCCTGAGATTTCCAAGAGTGAGTGCCTGAAAACATCCTCTGAGATGTCAGTGGAGGCCTCGAGTGGTGGCGTGCCACGGAACTCACTTAAACGGTGGAGACGCTCACCCCGCCCGGGCAGCGTCCGCCTGACACACAGGCTCTTTGAGAGGTGAGCCTCTCAAACATGCCTGGAAGAGCTGGCTCTTTAAATGTCAGCTGAGTCTAGTTGATCTGAATGTAAATAGCCACACGGTAGGGTTGCAGATAAAATACAGGATGCCTGGTTCTATTTGAATTTCAGATAATAGATAATTATCTTGCCTCAGTGTGTCTTACGTTTGGAGCACACTTGCAGGAGACCTAGTTAAAAATGACTCTATTCCTCTGAAATTTAAATGTAACCCAATGTCCTGTGTTTTATGGGGCATCCAGCCCCCACGCTAGGAGGTCCCCACAGGGCAGCGCGTCTGCAGGAAACAAAAGGATGGGCAGCTCCCTGGACACATGGGTCTGGGTGCCCAGGGCTCACCCAGGCGACACAGGCAGGGAGGCTGCATTGCCCAGTTCAGGCTGTGGCCTGGGCCATGTGAAGTGGGGGCTGGGCGGGTACAGGCCTGCACTGGCCTCTTGGGGCCTGGGCTCGGCTTCCAGACCCTGTGGAGTAGCCGGTGCCTGGCTGAGCACACGCGTGCCCCAGGCCCACGCACACACGCAGCCCCCCTCCCCAGCCCACTCGGAGCCCCGTCGGGGGGGGAGGCTCCCCGCACACCTCCGGCGTCCCCGGTGTCCCAAACGGAGAAGTACTATAAACATTCGCAACAACGTAGACAGAACAGTCTATTGTAGCGGGCCCCCCCGCCTCCCCCCGGAGCTGGGGTGAGGTTGGCGCGGCGTGGGGAGGGCTCGGGCCCCCGCCGGGGCGTCCGCTGTTTGCACAAGCGGAGGCGTTTTTGTCTGAGGGCAGTCTGCGTGCTGTGGCCTTTGTCGCGTCTGCTACTGAGATTTCCTGTCTCTGCTATTCTCTTCCCAGCAAGACCATCTGAAACCCAAAACTTTTATTGCCCCTTTAAAAGCCAGCTTTACGGCTCGCCATCTCCTGCATCCCGGCCCGCTCCTCCTCCTGCTGCTGCGACTGTAGTTAGGGCAGGCCTGCTGGGTGCCGCGCTGTGGCAGGAATCTGCCCTGGTCTCCGCCGCAGGGTCTTGGCGGCAGGAGCTGCAGGGAGGAGGGCCAGGTATGCGGGCAGGACGATTCTGCAGAGTCGGCAGGAAGCCCCTGGGTGCAAAACTCAGGCCTGCAGCTTAGCTGGTTAGCACAGGGAGCCGAGAGCTGGTCCGCAGAGACACACGGCACGTGACCCCAGGTCCCTGGCCACCCACCTTGCGGCTCTGTGCCCCGGAGCTTGGGTCTTCCCATCCCCATGCCTGCTTTCCCCACCTTCGATGGGGAGCGGCAGCCCCTCCCTGCCCAGCTCTCGGGCCCATGAGGGTGAACTAGGTCAGAGGCTGGCTGGACTGAAGAGGTCTTGGGAATAAAGAGAAGGCAGGAGCAGGAGGCAGGAGGTGGGGGCCGGGGGGTTGGGAGGCAGTCAGGGTCCCACCTGTAGTTTCCCCGCTACGTCCCCCACCCCGAAGCAGGCCCGCTGAGTCCCCCGGTCCTCTCCGCCTCAATTTGTCCATTTGTAATAGCGCTCACTTCACGTGGGTTTTGCCAAGATTAAATGAGATCATTGAATACAGAGCACCAGCAGTGTTTCATTAAACGTCATTGTTCAATGGCGTCATTGTCACCTTCATCATCAGTGGTCACGGACAAGCAAAGGAGTCTCTAGAATGTAAGTAGAGGATCCTGACCCTCAGGGGATGTTCACCCCCAAACACTCCCATCTGACAAGGAAACAAAATGCTTCAAACAAGTGTCTATTATGCAGGAAGGAATTAAGCAAGGCAGGCTGCCTGGAAGAGGCAGATTTGAGACCGAAACTAGAAATGCCAAGTGGACCAAACCACTTGGGCCTGCACACACCTGGCTCTTGGGCCTCACCGGTGATGGCTTCACAGTTCCACACTCCGAGTCTAACCGTCTCCCTGAGCTCCTGCACCCTTCCCGAGAGCAGCGAGAAAACCCCTGCTACCCAAAGGAGACAGTGCAACAGCTGAGAGGGGAATGGTCCCTGCTCCCATCTCTGGCGTGGGTGCCACGGAAATCGCCAAGATGCCTCTCAGGGGCTCCAAGGAGTGCTGGCTCATTATGTCTCAGCTCAGAAAGAATTCAGCGAGAGGCAAAGCGAGAGATCGGTGATTTAGGAGAACAGGACGCTTAGGAGACTTCCTAGTGGTGGGCAAGAGGGGGCCGCACCGAGAACCTAGTGGGCTGCAGTTTTATAATCAAAGGCAAAGTGTGGAGGGGAGAAGACCGCCCTCCTCCTCTCTCTTGAGGAGACATCATGCTTGCACCAGCAGCTCCTCCTCCACGTCAGGCAGGGGGGCCCCTTGTCACAGCACTGAGGAAATGAGCAGAAGGTGGTGACACAAGCTAAAAATGGCAAATGGTCTCAGGTTTCCATCTGATACCAGCTTTGCCTTACATTCTTGGTTCCAGTGTGCCCAGAGGCGCGTGTCCTCGGAGTCACTAACTCGCTGAGCTCCCGGGGCAGGATGTGGGGCTCACGCACCGCGGTTTTACGGTTCCGGGGCACGTCTCGCGCTTCTGCCCCACGGCTTTGTTGCTCCGCAAGCCAGCGCGGTTTTGCGGTTACACAAACCTACCTTCTTGAGTGATCATTAACTTCCACGGGTCTCCAGTACTTTTTTTCTTTACTTAAAATCCCCCAGTGGGATTAACTGTTTAATCACCCTGTACTCTGTCCCTGACACCAGGACTGGGCTTCCCTGCTGGCTCAGTGGTAAAGGATCTGCCTGCCGAGACAGGAGACACACAGCACGCCGTTCGATCCCTGGGTGGGGAAGGTCCCCAGGAGAAGGATACCCAGTCCGGTATTCTTGCCTGGGAAATCCCATGGACAGAGGAGCCTGGCGGGCTACAATCCACGGGGTCGCAAAGAATCGCACATCACCAGGACAAGAGAGGTGATTTGGTCTGGAGACTCAGGGTCCAGAGAAGGAGGAAGAATCCGGCTGCCCTGGGTAGGCG